CTTTTGCCTTGTACTCCCTGCTGTGCCGCCATGCCCGGGTAAGCACTTTGCCCAATGGCCAGGTTGCTGATGAGGACCTATTTGAGTACAACAAAGATGGAATTCATTCTGCAAATAAGGGTCTTGGGTTGAGCTTGAGATCCACCCTGGAGAAACATCAATGGCTGAGGAGAATATTGCTGGTTTTGGCACTGATTGGAACTTGTATGGTGATTGGGGATGGAGTCTTGACACCTGCAATTTCTGGTATGTGTGTAATGTTTTGCCTGCAGATTTAGGAAATTGAGTAAATTGAGGTTTGAGGATGCTTGACCCCTCCTGGTTTTTGGGTGCAGTGTTTTCTGCTGTTTCTGGATTAGAGCTTTCCATGTCAAAACATCATCATGAATGTAAGCTCCAATTCTTTTTCGAAATTATTATGTTTGCTTATCTTGTATGTTCAACCAATTATTATGCCTGCTTATCTCTTACAAGGATGCAATAGCATAGGCCAAATTTCTAGCCTTGTTCAATCAATATTCAATAGTTCAATTAAGGAGCTTAGGAGCTTAGAACTTCATCTCTATGATAGTTTCAACACTATGAAACCCGCAACCACTAGCTGAGTGTGTGCACTGGTTAGACCCGCCTTGTGACCTTAGCTGGCAAAGGGTTAGGTAATCCAGTTAGGTTGTTCATAGTTGATCGGCTCAAACCAACAAGGGAGAGTTGAACTTGAGACCTTGTGGTTATCAAGTCAACAGTCTGACAAACTTGGCTGGGTTGCCCCAGTTAGCCGATGTGAATTGAGTATCAGTTTCTTATGGTTGGTAGTTGTTGTAAACCTTTAGCTAATTTATTACCTATTTACTCGTTTCTCAGTCAAGTTTGTCTTAACGCTATGGAGGTTGTACCCGGACTAGATGAATGTAGAGTTTAGTATTTAAATATTTGGGAGAAGAGTAAAGAAACGAGTCCGTGTTTGCAATCTAGAATGTTTTGTTTGATGTAAGTATAGGTCGCGAAAAGAGAGCATATCAAGCAGGACTAGATGTGCACAAATGCGGGGCCCTTCATATAACAACAGAGACAACAATTGTATGCTAATCAAGGTCATATCAACATCACATATTTAAATAAAGTTAGGTTTCCATCTTTGCATGGTGGACCTTGCTGATATCATCCTACTAACAAAGTGATACATATTTAGGCTAAGATTTTTTTTATTTCATGGTTCAAGAATTTAGTGGACTGTGTTTCTCCTCTATAAAGTAAATTATATTGTGATGGAAAAAGCCAAGCAAGCAAATTGGTTTGGCACTGTTAAATTAATAAAGCAAAAGTATGACACCATGACTTAGAACCTTATCCTATTGAATTACTAAGTGAAAGCAATGAGTCATTGAATTGATAGAATAGTCATATTCTCATATCTGCCCCATTGATAACCACAAGGGTCGGCCTATTGGCCTTCTCGATTTGAGCTGATAAGCTCTTTGTTAAAAGGAAAGCATATAATAATCAGATGGCTAAGTTGAAATCTATGTTTACTTTTTATGACAGACTGATTTTCTTTCATTCTTAGTAGATTAGATCATTGAAACTAATGAGGATACATATAATATCCTAGAAACGTAGGATTTGGTTGTTTTTCTTATAATGTCATGCCAGTTTAGCGATATGTTAGAGAGGTTTGTTTCCTCAAAAAAAGAGGCAAATAGTTAGGGCAGATGGATGGTTTACTAAATTTTTGCTCGTTATGCAGATGTGGAAGTTCCGATTGCATGTGTCATACTGGTTTTCATATTTTCCATCCAGCATTACGGGACCCATCGGATAGGATTCCTGTTCGCGCCAATTGTGGTCACATGGCTTTTATGCATCAGTGCCATTGGACTGTATAACATTTTCCGGTGGAATCCACATGTTTACCAAGCACTGTCTCCATACTACATGTACAAGTTCTTAAAGAAGACCCAACGAGGTGGTTGGATGTCTTTGGGCGGGATTTTGTTATGTATTACAGGTATATAGCATTGTCAAAGTCGGGTTTATTTTTTTGAAAAAAAATAAAATATAAAAGGCGAGTGTTCTCATATTTTTAGCATGCGTTTCAGGTTCAGAGGCCATGTTTGCTGATCTTGGACACTTTTCACAGTTGTCTATTAAGGTAATTAAACCTAATAGCGTAAGGAACCATAGATTTAATCTCTCTGGTAAGAGGCTAAGAGAGTTATGGTTAAAACATTTGAACTTGAATAGTGAATTCATCTCGCTATTCTCCATACTCATTGTGGACTTAGTTAATGGCTCTGATGGAAGAATAAATTCTCTATAAAAATCAGTCTTCACAATATTTAAGAATAAATACTTTTATCTTTGTGATCTGCAAAATTCTGCAGCATAAATTCTGTTTACTTATCATTCTGCTTACGGAACTGCATCAAGCACAGACTTTCCACCGAGATGTGAACGAAGAAGACATCACGAGTTTCTTTTTGACAAATTCTCGTAAAATTCCCATGATAAGATTGTGATCCATGATAGTAATATTCGGTGTAGAGTGGATGCATTAGTAACAGGTTGATCCTTGATAACAACGCCTCTAATTAATGGCTGCTGCCCTGCAGATAGCTTTCACCTTTGCGGTTTATCCATCATTGATTCTGGCATATATGGGGCAAGCGGCTTATCTTTCCAAGCATCACACCCTTGAAACTGACTATCGGATTGGATTCTATGTATCAGTTCCTGGTATTAATTCTTCCCAATGCTGTGATTCTTTTTCGCCTTTCTTTCGGTTGATACCATAACGAGACTGTAGAGAGAAGTAAGAGTGTGAAAAGTGAAAACTGTTTTATTATTCGAAAGCAGTAAAGGGAAAAGAAAGGAATACATGAAACAGTATATCTTGGTTTAAGCTAGTTGTGAATTGTGATCTTACTTGGTCCAGAAAAACTTCGGTGGCCTGTTCTTGGCATTGCAATACTTGCAGCCGTGGTGGGAAGCCAAGCCATCATCACCGGGACGTTTTCTATTATCAAGCAATGCTCGGCTTTAGGTTGTTTCCCAAGGGTGAAAATAACACACACATCGTCGAAATTCCATGGCCAGATTTACATTCCAGAAATCAACTGGACCTTGATGGTCCTATGCTTGGCTGTCACTATTGGTTTTGAAGATACAAAACACATAAGCAATGCATCAGGTAAATTTATGCATTTTTTGCAGTTTTCAGTTTGAAGGTAATGTTTGTTTTCTTACGAATGGCGGTGTTTTGGAGCAGGTCTGGCGGTTATAACTGTTATGCTGGTAACGACGTGCCTGATGTCTCTGGTAATCGTCCTGTGCTGGCACAAAAATGTGTTTCTAGCCATTTTCTTCATCTTCTTCTTCGGGAGTATTGAAGCGCTCTACTTCTCAGCTTCGCTGATTAAGTTCCTTGATGGTGCCTGGGTTCCAGTTGCTCTATCGTTCATATTCCTGCTTATCATGTACATTTGGCACTATGGCACGCTGAAGAAATATGAGTTTGATGTTCAGAACAGAGTTCCAATCAACTGGCTGCTGCAATTGAGCCCTAATCTCGGCATTGCAAGGGTGCGAGGAATCGGCCTCATTCACACTGAGCTTGTTTCTGGAATTCCTGCAATTTTCTCCCACTTCGTCACCAATCTCCCGGCTTTCCACCAGGTTCTCATCTTCCTCTGCATCAAATCGGTCCCGGTGCCGCATGTGAGGCCGGAGGAGAGGTACCTGGTGGGAAGAATCGGGCCGAAAGAGCACAGAGTGTACAGATGCATAGCCAGATATGGCTATCGCGATGTTCACATGGACGACGTGGAGTTCGAGAAGGATCTGCTTTGCAGTATCGAAAAATTCATCCGTTCAGAAGCTCCGGAACAGGGTGACCTAATGGATTTTGACGACGACGAAAGGATGACCGTCATCGGAACCACTTCCACATACCTAGAAGGCAAAACAATGAGCGAGGACGGCGAAAACATGTCCGCAAGCACGACGACGGAGCTGCGAGAGATCTCCTCGCCGGAGATGATGACCGGACGGCGAGTGCGATTCCTATTGCCGGAGAGTCCACAGATGGATCCAAGCGTGCGAGCGGAACTGCGCGATCTGATGGAAGCAAGGGAAGCAGGCATGGCGTTCATACTGGGACGCTGCTACGTGAAGGCTAAAAGCGGTTCCAGTTTCATGAAGAAAGTAGTCATCGATTTAGGTTACGATTTCTTGAGGAGGAATTCTCGAGGGCCAACATATGCGCTCAGCTTCCCTCGCGCATCAACTTTAGAAGTTGGCATGATCTACCTTGTATAACATACATAAACACAGTAAGTAGCATTCCCAGTTTCTTCCATTCCTACCTCCCAAACTTCTGTAAATGCTAGATTTTGTACTGTAAATCGTCAAAAAAAAAAAAGTTCTGGGTAGCATTTCCACTACCTAGTCAGTAAATCTTGTTTGCCAGATCTCTAGTCTTGATTCTGATGGCTTCTGCACCCAAACGAGATTAATCTAGCCTAGTGGAGTCAATTCAAGAGGCGTTGTTACATATATATGGATTCAAACTTGGTACTATTTATAAAAAGTTAAAAATTAATTAAATATTGTTAATTCATTATTCTTTGCTTGAGTATAAGAGTGAACTAAAATGGAAAGTGCTCATCTAAGGGATTGACAAATAGATGATTTGGACACTTCAAGAATGTAAATTATACAAATTTGCAGCAAGCTAAGCTTCCATGCGTAAACTAAACAAGACCCTAGGAGGAAGGAAGGAATGTGATGATCTTTACTCAGTGACAAGTATCCTCTATTGTTGTTGTGTTTATCTCATACGTATTGTCTTCTCTACTTTCTGTCATTATATTCGAATTCGATTTGTATTCTCGTTTATTTCAACATCAATGGTTTCCCCACTTTGAGAAGACTTATCGAAGAGTTCATGTTGATTAGCAAGAACTAGGACACTGAAATGCAGTTTAGTTCTTTCTCCTCGACTGGGCAGTCTGTGTAATCTCTGTATATAAATGGGGAAGAATTTGGTGATTTTACTACTTATTCTCTTGATTCTGCTTCTTGGATGTTCATCAGCTTCAGCAACACCTACTGCAAGTGCGTTGTGTATTCTTGTCATGACCCAAGTTTGGATTATTTATTTATTTTTTTTTTCATTTGTTTTACGTATGTATGCAGAAGTGGTCTGTGGGGTTGTCACGAATGTTGTCGCTGCTCTTTTCAAATGGTTGGTATCGCTAAAATCTGAGATGGAACCAGGTGAGAAGAGAAGCCTTTTAAGAATTTCCCATCTTGTCTGTTTGTTCTGTGTAGCAGCCATTAAAGATTGATTTTCCTTGCCTTTCAAAGCTTTTTCCAGGATTAAATTTGAGAAAGGATACAGTGTTGAAACTATCTTTGATGGAAACAAATTGGGAGTTGAGCCATATTCTGTGGAGGTTTCGCCGGCCGGAGAGGTCTTCATTTTGGATTCTGGAAACAGCAACATTTACAAGATCACAACCCCACACTCTCTGTGTAAGATATTGCCCATGCCAATTTTGACAATTTTTCATGAAGTTATTGTTCATTACAAGGTTGTTTGCGATTGCAGATAGCCGGCCTATGTTGGCCGTTGGATCACCTGAAGGGTGCTCTGGGCATGTGGATGGGAAGCTGAGAGAGGCAAGGATGAACCACCCAAAAGGGCTAGCCATGGATGACAGTGGAAACATGTATGTTGCAGATGCCATGAACATGGCAATCAGAAAAATCACTGACACAGGTATATATATGCCCAGATATCTATATTACCACCTTTTTCACCGGAAAATCTCACCTTTTCGACCCGAATCAGTCTAAATTGCTCATAGATGAATTAATAGACAGTCTGACCAACTTGGCTGAGGTTGTCCCCACCTCGAACATTTTCTTTGTACAGGAGTTGTGACAATTGCAGGGGGGAAGAGGTTCCAAGGCGACAGACCGAGGGAAGACGATGCAAAACTTTCAAATGACTTTGATGTAGTTTATGTAAGAAGCAGCTGCTCACTTTTGGTAATTGACAGAGGAAACCGGGCGATTAAACAGGTCCAACTTCACGAGCATGACTGTTCGGATCAGTACGACAGCAATCTCCATCTAGGTAAAAAACTGAACTTTCTAAGAAACAACCTCAGCCCACTGTGATTACCATAACAAGTGTCTGTTTCATCATTGCAGGTGCATCACTGCTTTTTGCAGCCTGTTTCTTTGGATACATGCTGGCTCTGTTACAACGAAAAGTTGCAGCATTTTCCTCATCAATCCGCGTGAGCAAACTATTATAAGTACTTCTAGTTCATGTTCATCTTGTTGAGCATGTAGCCATTAATGTGCAATCCAACTATCAGCTTAGGCTTTTAGTTGAGATGGAGCACATGCTTCAATTTGGTATCAGAGCCAGATCAAAGGGTCCACGTGTTGCTTGGAACCCATTTTAGGCTTTAAGCTTTTAGTTGAGATGGAGCACATGCTTCAATTCATCTGATGAAGGCTTGAATACTGAGTAGCTTAGCCATATTCTTTTTGCAGAAGCACAACAGCCCAATCCGACCAGGCTTATTTCCAGCAGAAGATGAACACAAGAAACCTGCAGAAAACATGTTTGTTTCCATTGGAAGACTGCTAGTCAACACTGTTACTGAAATGTTTGGTCGAATGTTGTCTGGGTTTAGAAAGAAACCTCATTTTCAGCAGAATCTGAATCTCCATTACTCTCACAAGCATCCTGAATACTATACAAATACAATTGGTTATGAAGATGACCTCCCATTTTCAGACCTGAGAAACCCTCCACCAAGAACATCATCGTTCTCGTCGATTGCCAAAGATCTGGAGAGGTCTCAAAACCATCATCAGAAGAAACAGCCATCGAGTCCTCAGGCTTGCACAGAACAAAGCTGTGAGAGGAATGAGGTTGTGTTTGGGGCAATTCAGGAACAAGATGGCTGCGGTGAATCAATGGTGATAAAGAAAGTTGATTATTCAGATCCTGCTTATAACCATTATAACATCCGATCCAGATACAGCTGTAATATGGGGAGTTTCTGTGGCAATTGAATAGCTATATATAGGAAGACGACAAGATAGAATTTGTTTATACACTTTACAGATGTGTAGCCATATAAGCTGTTTACGCCTATTTCTCCGCTTTCTCCCCCTTATATATATACACAATACACGCCTGTAAAGACCGGGAATCATTGGGCTCTCCGAGTCTCCGGAGACGGGGAGTCAAATTTCAGTAACTTTCTCTTTACAAATCATAAAGCCCTAATTGGAATTAGGGCTTTTGACTAGTAAAGATCGTAAATTTGTTTTCTTTTCCGATTGTTTTCTTCTGGGATTGTTGATTGAACATGGCCGTTGAGAATGCCACACTGGAAGATGCAGAGGAGAATGATGATTTTGAGGAACTGGCGTTACGGAGAAGGGGTTGTTGTTTCTGGCTTCCGTGTTTCGGCCGGCGGCCGGCCGGCGCCTGGGAGCGTATCGCGACGTCGGAGAGCCATAAAGAGGATTGGTTGGGGAAGAGTACGAGTGCACTAAAGAAAGTTCGGGAGTGGTCGGAGCTCGTCGCCGGCCCCAAATGGAAGACCTTTATCCGCCGTTTCAACAAGCCCCGCTCCAAACCCGCCAAGTTCCAATACGACCCCGTGAGTTACGCGTTGAATTTCGACGACGGGTTCGAGCAGAGTGGTAATCCGGATGACGGCCATCTCCCCCGGGATTTCTCGTCGAGATATGCATCGTTCCCGGCGACGGCAAAATCGCCGATGGACCTGGGCAAGGACGCGTCTTCAGTCACGTGAAGATTCGCTCTCTTCACTGCCAATCCGCGTCACCACCTGGACGAGAATTGCGGCACAGATTTCGGAGTTAACAATGTTCACCCGAATCTTGTCGTTTGACTTTGTCAGCACATACTGACCTCTGCTCTCCCAGTAGCTTTGTCCTTTCTTCCTTCTATTCTATACTTTCATCCTCTAAAGTACTTTATTACTCCGTATATTTGTTGCTTTCTTATATATGTGGGGTATTCTTAATCTCTTTATTTTATTTAAATAAAGGATTAATTTTCTTAACTTATCCATTAAAATTGACAAAATAGTGGAGGAATTGAAGTCTGTGTTTTATCTCAACTAAAAGCCTATATATTATATGCTCAACAGGAGGAATAAATTAGGGTGATTTAGATTTTTACATTATTTTGTATTCTTGTTCATAATTTATCACTAGAAATCAACTGATATGTCTGTGCAGATTTTGACTATGTTTGTTTGTTAGTAGCATGCCTAGAATGAACTCCTTTCATTTGATAAAGCAAACACTTTTTGTTTCAGTAAACAAAAGTCTTCTTCAGGAACATGATCAACTTAGCAATCAAATGATTATGATGGTAGTTAATGGCAGATAAATCATGATTATTTGACAAACACACAATTGCCAGTTTGCCACTACAACTAACACTTAGAAAAGCACAGATCCCACTACCATTAAAGATACCTCCTTTGGTCAAACTACTATTAAAAAAGGGATTGGCAAAGAGTGGAGGGAACAGAAAAGATGAAGAAAATATCAGCGCCAGATTTGTACAGCTACGTATGTGTTTTGTTAAAGCACAATGAATCTGAGTTTTTGTAATGGCGCCAACTTAGAAACACTGCAAAATTAAAGTTGTGAAAGATATGCCAGCTGATCTTTCTTCTTCCTAGGTAAACTCAACGCTAAATGTTCTTGAAACTAATTAAGGTCATTAATCAAACATGAGAGTCTGAAGAACCAAATTTCCCTTTCTTAGACCAAAGCCAAATCTTGGAAATGGAGAAACTATCAGTTTTGGTTCCAATACTTAATCTTTTCCCCTCTCCATCCACAGTATCCTGATTATTATCTCTTGGTTTCACAAGCTTTTCCACATCTCTGCCATTTCCCAGATTATTGAGTGCCACCCTGAGTTTAGTATCCCCAACAACGTATTGATATGAGCCCATTGAGTAGCATCTTCTAGCATCCAAAGCGCTACTGCTAGCCTCACCATCATCTTCTTCAGCTTCTTCCCCATTGTTAAGCTTACGAAACTTGCCGAGTCTAACAGGAAAAGTCCCCTTCTGGACCACGATTTCGTCTAAATCGACTGCTTTTTGAGCAGAAGTGTCATTATTATTGTCTCCACTGCGAGGATCTTCAAGTGGCTCATCGTGATCAAACATGGGGTTTTCAACGGAGAACCCAGGGTTGAAGAGGGTGCCTCTACAGAGGGGGCAAGTGGAATTTGTCAAGAGCCATGTATCTATGCAATTGATGTGGAAAGCATGGCCGCACATGGGCAGCAATCTCAGCTTATCCTTCTCTACAAATTCACTCAAACAAACAGCGCAATCAAACGGCTCTTTTGAACCGCCCACGATTTCTCTGTAAATGAAGACTGGCAACGCATCAATGAAAGCTTGGTCCACGCCGGAGTCATGGAGATGGAAGAGCTGCTGCAACTGTCTTTGAAGGGCATCGTCGGCGCTGGGAACTTCTGGGTTCCGGCCGGACCGGACCGATGAAGGATTCTTGACAAGAAATCTAACAAGCAAGTGCAGCAGACCAGACACGAAGAACAGGACTGCTACTATCACTATGATGAAAAGAACTGCAGGATTGATTTTGTTCCCAGAGGGCGATGAAGATGGAGATGGAGGAGGAGGAGGGTATTTGAAGATGGCATCTCTCTGAAACTGTACCCATCTCACCTCCCTATCTTCTGCCATTGAACCCATCATTCCAAGAACCCAGAACTTCAAAAATGTTTGATTTTCGACAAAAAGCAGCAAAATTGTTATTGCCCAGCTCGCTGATTTTGAAAAAACAAGACAAATAAGTGAAATAACGACAGCCCTATAGAGAATAAGTTTAAAAGGATGAAACTTTACCTCACCAGACCACCATTAAAACATATTCAGATTCTTTATACATAAACCCCCTTTTCTTGCATCACATGAAGTCTTCGCCTTCCTTGAGAAGCAGAAGAAAATCAGTCGAAATCCGAGGCTCCGACGCCACAGTGTATATAAATATACTGTGCATACATAGATATGAGAGAGAAGGGTGGAAGGTTTGAAGGTGAAGAGGAGAAGGAGGAGGCAAAGACAGGTGCTTGGCGACTGCGCGGCGGTCACTGGGAACCGAAACCTGCAAATAAACAATGCCAGAAAGGAATACATATACGCCGTAAATGAAAAGGAAAAGACAAAGGCGACAGTAAGTAAAGTAAAAAAAATAAAAATAAAAAACAAATAAAGGAAAGGAAAGATTTGAACGAATAGGCCGCGAAACAAATCCGTCCATCTCGGAATTTGAGATAGATGGAGCTCAATACAGTTTCTACTTTCTATCATTAAGAAGAATAATAAGGAAATGAAAATGATATATGGCTTTCTAGTTTCTAGGGATAAAACCCTCGTAATTGAGGCAACCGCCAACTCCAAGTCCCCAACCAATATTATAGTGTGGAAGCAATCTTTTGATATTCTTCGTTTGAGCTAGTGAATTATAAACAATTGTTTATTTTTATGTAATTTTTCGTTTGTTAGGGTTAGAGTTACAAGGCGTGAGAGTGAGATGGGCAACTTCAATTTGATTGGTTTGCCTTCTTGTGTTTTTTTATCGATTATTGTCAAGACATGGGAGCAAGATGGACAACTTACATCGATTTACCTGGTCCTTTGCCTGCTAGGGTCACAAGGCATTGGAGCGAGAGTGACCTATTAACTTTATTGGTTTGGGACAGTCAACTATGAAAAACTAAATAGAGTATATCCAATGCACACACCCTCGATAGTGGCTATGAGTTTCCATTATCATTAAAAAAACTCATATCACCCGTTAGAATTTGTTGCTTACAAATTACAATTCAATTACACTATATTATTAATGATTCATATTTGATGCATAGTCTATATATATATATATATATATATATATATATATATACACCAATGCTGAAAGGAGAATATGCCACATCATTAAAAATAAAGTCAATACTGATGACTTGCTCCTTTTTTGCAAAATATTTAAAACTTATATTTTATTAAGAACTCTTTTATATATAATTAACAAAATATATCTACTTTCATAAACATATTTATTACTTAATTATTATCTATCTAATTTTTAAAATATTTTTAATTAGTAGGTACATTATTAATTGTTCCCAAACAATTAATTACACCTACGACCAAACATTAATTTTATTTAAATCTCTTAATTAACATTAAATTAGTATAAGTAAGAAGTATATTCAATTAATCACACGTTAATTAAGAGATTTATTAAGAAAAAAATTTAGAAAACCCTTTATACTTGATTTTTTTTTATTGTAACTACAATCTAACATATTACTTGTGACCTTCCATTATAAAAATCAAATAGTAATCAAATACTCCTTATGCATCTACACAAATTGTTTTCTGCTTTACATCTGTTATGAACAAATTGTAAATAATAATAATAATAATGTATTTATATTTATTATAAAAAAAATATAAAAAGTATATCATTTAGTCAATATATTAAATATATATTATGCGTGAAAAGAAAAAAAAAATTAAGATGAAGAGAAATACTGTATTTATATTTATTCAAATTGCCCACTGAACGTAACCTAAAAATGCAATTAGGCCACTGATCGAAAAAAAGTGCAATTAGGCCATTGAACACTCAAAAAATGTGCAATTATGCCACTGAACTCTCCAAACGTATGCAATTTTACCGGATAGCAGGTTACCATCAATTTTAGCAAGTTACCTGCTTACGTGGCAGCTTAGTTCGCATTTTTAATAATTTTTAAATAATTTTTAATAATTAATTTTAATAATAAATTTTATAAAAAATTGGAAAAAATTAAATAAAAAATAAAATAAAGTCGTTTTTATTTTTTTAAAAAAAATTAATAAAAAGTTATTATTAAAATTTATTAAAAATTAATTAAAATTTATTAAAAATGCCAACTCAGCTGCCACGTAAGCAGATAACCTGCTAAAATTGAGGGTAACCTGCTATCAGGTGAAATTGCACATTTTTGGAGTGTTCAGTGGCCTAATTGCATTTTTTTTTTCCGTTCAGTAGCCTAATTGCATTTTCAGGTTACGTTCAGTGGCTAATTTGAACCTTATTCCTCAATTAAATAATGTTCGTTACATAAAATAGTATTCATAATATCATCACTCTTTTATTACATTTGTGATTTATTCTAAAATCTACCGGTGATGTAATAAGCAAAATTTAGAAATTCATTAATAAGAGATTTATTAATCACACGTTAATTAGTTAATAATTGAACAATTCTTAATTATACTAATTTAATGTTAAATAAGAGATTTAAATAAAATTAATGTTTGACCGTACGTGTGATTAATTGTTTGGGAACAATTAATAATTAATAATGTATCTAATTGTGAACAATTAATGATGTATCTACAAATTAAAAATGTTTAGAAAATTAAATGGGAAATAATTAAGTAATAAATATGTTTAGGAGATTAGATATATTTTGTTAATTTGAAATAAAAGAGTTTTCTAATAGAAATATAAGTCTTAAATATTTTACAAAAAAGACCTGATCAATATTGACTTTATTTTTTTAATGATGTGGTATTTTCTCTTTCACCGTCAGTGTATAGCATCTATATATACATCGCCGGTGCATCAAATATTAATCCTTTTATTAATTTAGATAAGTATATTATAATTTTTTTTATTAGACAAATTAATTGCATGATTAGCTTGATTTGAGGAGTTTATTGTATCACTTCTTGTTCATTTTGACACGTAATTTATTTGTATTTGATTCCCACTAACGGCACTAAGCATATATAAGGTACAACATCACTTCACCGTTTCTATTAAGAGAAGGAAACGATCGAAAAGGTGTTACTTCACTTCATGGGTTAATTAATTAGGTCATGGATGGTCATCTCACCAACAGAAATGGAACTATATATGGCACATATATGCTTTCTTCATCTTTAGATATAAGCCATTGAATTTTGGTGTCATGATGACTTCATCTCGTACAGATACATGCTGTGTTTCAAAAGTCAAATGCTCCATCAAACAAGTACAATTATGAAAACTTTGATTTGAAAACCCACATGGTTGTGAAATAAAGTCGTCAGTTTAGGTATTGTTTGGTTTTCAGGATTACTAATCATACGGATGCGACTATCAATTTTCATCTTAATCCAATCTTCATTACTAATTCACAATTCTCAGTTCAAATGACTCTCAATTATGAAGAGAAAGTCACATTATTGTCTTGTTTTATATTAAAAATTAAAAATAATAATAATAGCAATGCTTAACCTGTTCGAAATTATTTGTAACATTATATTCCATACAATTTAGTGAAGATTATCAATAACATCATCTAAAATTATTGACTGGTATAACTTATTTATATGCTCCAAAAAAGAACGCTACCAAAATCCATTTCATTTTTTATTAGTGAAAACTCATGCTTTAAATATTTTGATTTTTGAGCACGAATTTTGTGAGTCATTATCATTAACTTTTTTTCTTTGATTAACAATAACTGTCATTTTTTAATATTTGCAGGTTAATCGTTTTCTTTTTTCCTCATAAATGAAATAGGGTAATTATCTAGAAGTGGGAAAAATCACATGCTTGTTGGTCTTAGCTAAATGTGGATGCTACTATTGAAGCTGGTGGGGAAAAAATGGCTTTGGTTGGGTTATAATTAAGGAACGAGAATGAAGTCTTTCAAGCAGCAAAATGTGTACCATGGAATGGGCGAACGCTCATGAGGCATAAGCTATGGTGGTGTATGAAGCACTCTCGTGACTAAAGGTCCTCAACATGAATTTTGTTTAAGTCAAAATATATGCACTCCAAGTTTTTCGTGAACTCAACTAGGATGAATGTGGTCCTTCTTTTGACCTCATTTTACATGATATTATAGATATTTGTAATGCATTTTTGCATGTTTACATATCGTTTGCTAATCAATGCAAACTATACTGTCCACTTGCTTTTTTGGGAGTCAAATTTTATAGCTGATTGCAGGGAGTGAACCCCTCATAATTTCATTTGTACTACTCTCGCATTGGATATCAACTAATGAATCTGTATTTTTCTTAAAAAAAAAAAAAGAGAGAGAGAAAAAAAAATGGTAGATGCAGTGTACATTAATGGCCATTCACGAAGCATGTGTTGTGTGCCAACTCTTGTTTTTTTGTTTTTATCATTATGCATGATTGAGTTACAAGATAGTTGTCAAGCACTTTGTACTCAGATGACATTTGAATTGGACTCCTATATGAGAGGTTGTGACTTGTGAGTTCGAGTTGGTTAGCATTCAATTACCACCCGTGTCAGAACCCCTCATCATTATAGTTGCATATTAAAATTTCAATTTGATCAAAATATAGTTAAATTCGTAAGTAATGAATTAGTTTACATCCAAAATAGAATTGTACTAATCCATTGTATTGTATAGATATATGATAAAGATTGTGAATATATAGAAAAGTAAAATATTATTTTGAAATAAGTGTCAAACAGGTCATCTAATTACACAATAAATTATAATCAATTACTGGTTTTAATTTTTTTTTAATAAATTTAAATTAAATAATTATTTTAAAAAATTAAACCACTTATCGTCTCATCGAGCCTGCCTTCTCACCAGAGAAGGTGATCCACTGGGTTGTCTTCTCTGGTGAGGAGGCAACCGGCAAATTATGCTGTGCGGATGCAAAAACGACGTCGTTTTATTAAAAACGCGCATCTCCCCTTTAAAAAAATTTTCTAGTTCGATTCCCAACAACAATATATGAACTAAAATTCCAGAATCGATGAACTATAATTCCAGAATCGATGAACTATAATTTCAGAATCTATGAACTAAAATTCCAGAATCTAATCTATGAACTAAAAATTCCAGAATTTATGAACTAAAATTCCAGAATCGATGAACTACAGTTCCAGAATCGATGAACTATAATTCCAGAATGAATGAACAACATAATGTTGTTGCTGGGAGTCGAACCTGAATTTTTTTTTAAGGGGAGACGCGTGTTTTTAATAAAACGACGTCGCTTTTGCATCAACATAACTACTCGAGGGGCAACCTTAGGTCGCCATTTCAGTCTAGAGAAGGCAACCCGCAACTGGGTTTCCTTCTCCCGTAAGAAGGCGACCTGAAGTTGCCTTTTCATCGGAGATGAGAAAGGCAACTTTGGTCTTTTTTCACCGGAGAAAGCGGGTGCTTTTAATTTTTAAAATACTTATTTAATTTAAACTAGTATTTGCACCCGTGCGATGCACGGAATAGATTTGTTGTAATATATTAAGAATATTTCGATCGATATATAATTATTTAAATTAGAACATCAAATATTATATAGTTCAATTGAATATACGGGTTGGATCATTTATGTGTTTTTATATTATCATTGTATGAATTTAAGCAAATAATTGCTCAAATTAATAGCTAATGTGTAGATGTATGCATGTAGTGTTATAACTTTGGAGATTTTTTTTTTTTTTTTTTTTCATTGTTTAGTATTTTTTTTTATAAATTATACAAATGTGTTTTTTTTTTGTCTATACATATAACAATTTTGTCATTTAAAAAATATAATATCAACGATTTTATTTACACATTGTTGAAACCTCTTTGTAGACGACATTGGTAGTAGTAATACAATCTTGTCCATCATCGTCTAGAGCTAACACCTTCAATTGATCAGGATGGGTGACTCGGTGAAAATATATAATGGTATAATATTAGTCAATTAGCGATCCTTACAAAAAAAATGTAGTGATTTAGCGATCCTCGGATTATTTGCTTAGAGGAATTACTTACTGAAAAAAAAATGTAGTGAATTGTTTTATTAAAAGCAGCAAAAAATTGTGTATATAAATTAATAAATTAGTTGTATAAATTAAAAATGAAAAAACAGGAAATACATACTTAAAATTAGATTTCTAACTTATTTAATTTTCATAATTTCGGAATAAATTTGTAATTGTATATAGTAAGGTAAGAATAATTCTTATGCAATATACGATTTGATAACTCAATTAATATTAAGATTTCGTGCAATGAACATGTATATTATCTTGTGTACTCATTTGAACGGTAATTTATTTTTATACAATAATTATGCATAATAAATTAATATTATGCTAATTAATAACTAATAAAATTTATTATTAATTTGACCATTAAAATTAGTCTGGATGGAAAAATATATATATGAATTGGTTTAATAAATCATAAATATTACCAATTGTTTAGTTAGAAAATAATCATTATAAAATTAAAATTGATTAATTTGACAAATTATACTTAAAATAAATATTACAGATTATTTACTTATATAAAACTTTTATTGAATTATTATTTTATAATAAGGAGTGAAAAATTATATATATATATATATATATATATATATATATATATATATATATATATATATATATATATTGGTTATTGGTTATTCTTTTCATATTCTCATATGGACGTAAATCCATAATATGGTATATAACCAATAACCAACGTAGTATATATATATATATATATATATATATATATATATATATATACTACGTTGGTTATTGGTTATATACCATATTATGGATTTACGTCCATATGAGAATATGAAAAGAATAAATGTACAACCTAATTAATACTACGCATTACATAATAAATATCATACCTAATATTACTATACATAATACCATACGTAATTATTATTTTTAATTTTTAATACCATGCATACAATTACCATACATACGTGAACTGGTTATCAATATAGATTTCTTAAATTGGTTATAAATCATATTATGATATTACGTCCCTATGAAATAATATTAACATACATAAAATTACCATACATACTTGTTAATATTTAGATTTATTAAATTGGTTACAATTCATATTATGGTAAAATAATTCTTATGCAATATACGATTTGAAAACTCAATGAATATTAAGATTCCGTGCAATGAACAAATATTCCATCATGTGTACTCATTTGACCAAAAATATGAAGGTTGGTTGAATAAATCGTAAATATTACTAATTGTTTGGTTAGAGAATAATCTTTATCAAATAAAAATTAAAATAATTAAATCTCTATCATATTCATATGTTGTTGCTTTAGGCTTTTGTCAAGGAGCACTACTCATGATCCTCAACACATGGCCATGGCTCCAAATCCTTGTGTTACTCCTATTGGTGCTGGAAGGACCGTCACATCAGGAAAAAAATATTAATAGTCCAAACTCATTCAATGATGTCCCCTCTCATGCAAATGACCTGCAGATCTTGTTGCTCAGAGTCCACTAATAATCAGATGGTCAGTTTTTTTTCTATCACTATGAATAGTGCATTATTTAATCCTGCCCAATAATAAATAACTTTTAATGGATTGAGATAAGGTATTAGAGAAATACCTTTAAATGGGTTGAGCAAACTCGTCCAGATTGATGATGAAGAAGATGATATATATGATCAATATAATCATAGTTTATATAATATATGTAGATAGATTTTAAATTTCACCAATGGTATATATGATTTTCTATTCTTTATTAAAAAAAAAAAAGTTGAAAAAGGATACAGAGATTTACCAAAATGTGTAGGTGTAGTGCAACAGCTCTTCTGGATACGCAGAGAATATGGGTCTTGTTCCTCCTCTTCTTGAAGGTCCCTGTTCTCTACACCATTGCTATGCAATTGCAGAGAATATTCCCTTAGGTTCTTTGTAACTTGGTACTGTTTGTATTGAAGAGAATGTGATGTATATATAGGTGTTTAGATATGATTAAGGGTAACATTTATGGTTTTTATTATATTACCAATTACCAATTACCAATTAAAATTAGAGTTATTACCTGTTCTCTACACCATTGCTATGCAGTTGCAGAGAATATTTCCTTAGGTTCTTTGTAACTTGGTACTGTTTGTATTGAAGAGAATGTGATGTATATATAGGTGTTTAGATATGATTAAGGGTAACATTTATGGTTTTTATTATATTACCAATTACCAATTAAAATTAGAGTTATTACCATTTTACATTTGCTTACCAAAAAATTATATATAGATACTTAATTTATATATGAAGAATATATTTACCTAATTTACTTTATATACAGTAATAAGTATGTCTACACATAAATGAATAATATATAATATATAATTTCAATATTTTGATAATTAATTAAATTAAAAAATTAGGATATTATATAAATGCCGCTAAGTTTTGGGGGAAAATTTATATGATTTTTATATTATTATTTATTTTATTATGCTTACATTATTTCATTAGATTTTTATTATACTTGAACAATAATATTTTCAATTATATTATATAATATAATACCATACATAAAATTACCAATTACCAATTATGTAATATAACAATTAATAGATTTTATTTAATTTCCATTTGACATTTACTTACCAAATAAACTTTACTACAAAAGTTTTGGGGGGAAAATTTGTTAGGAGGATTTTACTTTTATATATATATATATATAGATATAGATTTATTAAAATAAAATTTTAAAAATATTTTAAATTCGATAACTGTAATATGTTTGTCATTTTAGACTGAATTGCATTATATTGTATTATTTGAGAATGATCTAATTATAATTATATTTTTTTTTGAGTCTGATGATCTAATTACAATTTGTTGTGTAGTTGAATGATCTCTTATTATTTTTAAATAAAGGGTCAGATTGTCATAAAATTAAATTAAACGATACCGAAGTCAATAACTTCCCCCGTACCCGTACTATTTTGGACCAGCGACGAAATTTTCCCGGAGAAAATAAACCCATAATCGGAGTTAGTTTATTTGCCTGTGACTCCTGACTCCATAAAAACTTGGCGGCAACGGGTTCAGAAGCAAATTCGTGCGAAGCACAATGGGGGTTCACGGTCTGTGGGAGCTCTTGGCACCAGTCGGCCGCCGGGTCTCTGTCGAAACCCTCGCGGGGAAAAGACTCGCAATCGGTAATCCTCTTTCCCTAAAGTCTAGCTCTATTCATAAAAAAAATGAATATTGAGAGTCATAATGGTTGGAAGAAATATAGTTATATAGTTGCTGCTATTGTGTAGATGCGAGTATATGGATGATACAATTCATGAAGGCGATGAGAGAAGAGAAGGGGGAAATGGTGCGAAATGCTCATCTGCTTGGATTTTTTCGTCGAATTTGCAAGCTACTGTACCTCCGCACCAAACCAGTCTTTGTCTTTGATGGCGGCACGCCGGCTCTCAAGCGCCGAACCGTGATTGCTCGCCGCCGTCAGCGGGAGAATGCTCAGGCTAAGATTCGTAAAACTGCCGAGAAATTGCTCCTCAACCATGTCAGTTTAGTGAAAATATCTTTTCCATTGAGTATTCTATCCTCGTTTGAAATCAAAATCATAATTCTAAGAAGTTACTGGTTAGAAAGAATGATGATATGGTAGATGATAGTAAAGTAAGAGGTAGACAAGAACTTACTTGAACCAAAGTATATGAATTTGACTGATCAAACATAGCAGTATTGGTAGCCAAACATAGATTCTGTTTAACTTCCTGAACTAGATTGAGGTTAGGTTTATTTGAGTAAAGAGTATAGCAGCAAGTTGTGATGGTTGCTTTTTATGACCTTAATTGGCAGCTCAAGTCAATGAGGTTGAAAGAACTGGCTGCGGACCTTGAGAACCAGAGGAAAACAAATGATTCCAAGGGTAAATGTGTTGTCTCCGAGGACACGATCACTGTACAGGACATGCCAGAAGGAAATGGTTTTTCTACAAATATTGAGAAACAACAGAACATGGATGATTTAAAGGGTAAAAAGGTTGTTCTGGAGGATACTGATGCCTTGGAGGACATTTTGCAAGGGGATGGTGTAGCTGCCAAGAGTTATAATAATCAGGAAGAAATTGATGAGATGTGAGTTATTGTTCAACTTTTATGAAAATTTATTAAACGTGGGTTTAAATATTCACACTTAAACTTGACAAGTTAATTTAAGGCTGGCAGCATCCCTAGCCGCAGAGGATGATGAAAGTTTTTTCCCTGATGCATCTACATCTGGTGCTGGTCCTGCCAAAGATGAGGATGATGATGAAGACGAAGAGATGATACTCGTGAGTGTTTAGTTACTACCATAACATCATCACTCTGTCAATAACTCCATTTTGTGGTACACAATCATTTAAATGACAAAAGTTTTCTTTGGTAAATTTTACAAATACATACACAATATATGTTATTTTATTGGCTTGCATTTCGTTTGTATGTTTTTCAAAATGGAATACTATTTTTGTTATTCTAGTTATCTAATTAAGCCTTAAAGAACCTTTTCTATGTTTCAGTTATAGGATATTTGGTTTCACATAAGCACCTTAATTCGAAATATGCTGACCTTGTTCTTTAGTCCCTTCCAAGCAAGTCTTTGGCTTAACATTCTATGTTTCAGAAGTGAGGCAGGATAGATACTTATAATTTACATGGTCATGGCACATATCCAAAAATAAATAAAAAAAATTATACTGTCCCATCCATGGAAAAGATACTTTTTGCATTTTCCTTGACAGAAATTTGATACCTATACTGTTTCATTATCATTTCTAAGAATGGAATATGAAAGTTGTATGCTGCTTTGACTATTTTGTTTGGATGTATCTATTGATCTGCAGCCAGAAATGCATGGGAAAATTGATCCTTCTATTTTAGCTGCTTTACCTCCATCCATGCAACTTGATCTCCTTGTCCAGGTAAATGTTATATACAAAATTTGTTCCTTGTTAAAGAGAGAAAAGAATATGTCAGAACAACGTTCAAACCTGTAAAGTTTTTGTTTTTCCTTATGTATTGATTCTTCGGTAGTTTATTTTTGCTTGATGTATTGATCCCCTGTTTTGCAGATGAGAGAGAGATTGATGGCAGAAAATAGGCAAAAGTATCAAAAAGTGAAGAAGGTAAGGTCATGAAAACCAATATCTCTGTGTGTGTGAGAGTTTTCTCCTTTCTGGCGAGTATATAGCTTGTTAATTTAATATATTTCTTACTTTCTATTTTTCCACAGTTTTTCATGTTATAGTTGTGTGTATTCTCCATTTTGCTAATGCGGATACATTAATACTGATTCTTCCATCTATATTCTATATAATAAAATGGGGAAAGAATTTCCTTATTGCTTAAAGTTTTGTACAAAGTTCCCCAACTTTTTACTAATTAACTGGGACTTTGTCAGAAAAATGAATTAGAAATATTGTTCTTGAATATAATAAAATGTATCTGGTATATGGAGTTGGGTGTTCGCAGGAGCTTTAGATGTAACTATTATGAAAGTATATATCTGAATCTGTGTGTATGTGTGTGTGTGTGTGTGTGTTTTTCTTCATGTCTTGACATCACAATACTAAAAGTGCATCACTAAGGGACACAAACCCCTCTTTTCTTTTGAATGTTTGGACACATTCATCAGGTCCCAGAGAAGTTCTCAGAATTGCAGATACAGGCTTACCTTAAAACAGTTGCCTTCCGGCGTGAGATTGATGAAGTGCAAAAATCTGCTTCTGGGAAGGGAATAGGTGGTGTAAAGATTTCACGTATTGCATCCGAGGCCAATCGAGAATTTATTTTCTCATCATCTTTTACAGGAGATAAGCAGTGAGTGGACATATTTCAACTACATTAATGCATGAGTGCATGATAGCTCCTCTCCTCTCCTTATTTTGAAAGACAATGCATACTTGGTGCAACTTTTTTTATGCTTTTGGTTTCTATTTATCTTTCTTTCACATCTTCTTGTTCATATAAAGTAACTTCTCTGTACTAAATTGCTATGGCGAATTAATCAGAGTCCTTACATCTGCTGGAGAAAACCAAAATAAGAATAACCAAATGGAAACATCAAGGGAAAACAATTCGGCGAGTATGGTCAGTGATCTTGCTGCCCAGAAATCCAGTGTGGCACTAGAATCTTTTGTTGATGAACCCGAAAAGGACTTTCATGATGATGTGGAAACATATCTGGATGAGAGGGGCCGAATTCGAGTCAGCAGATTGAGAGCCATGGGGATCCGTATGACTCGTGATCTGCAAAGGAACCTGGATTTGATGAAAGAGATTGAGCAGGAGAGGGTGGTCCAAAATGAAGATGCTTGTAACTTGCCTACTGCTCCCACTTTTAGCAGCGAAAATGCTAATGCCCATGGAAATGGCTGTGAAAAGATCCAGAATTTGAACTCTTCTCATATAGATCATGAAAGGATGACTTGTGATAAAGTAGAAAATGCAGAGTCTCTTTTGAAAAGTGGAACTTCACTTGAGATATCTTTTGAAGATAAACAGGAACGTAATTGTGGTGATGATGATGATCTATTTGCTAGTTTAGTGGGAGGGGATCCAATAATAGACTTCTCCGTTAATGATTCCCCAGTAAAGAAACAATCTACAGACTCTGCTTCAGATGTTGATTGGGAGGAAGGAGTTACTGAAGAGAAATTTGGCATGTTAAGCAGTAACTTTCCTGGGCAGAGTGAACCTGCTCTGACAGAAGGTGGTGGCTTGAATGATGAGAGTGAAGTGGTGTGGGAGGAAGGACATTCAGCTATTCATAAGGATGCATTCTTGTGTCCATCTGAAGGGACAAATGCTTCTAAAGGTGACTTGGAAGAAGAAGCTGATTTTCAAGAAGCAATAAGAAGAAGTCTCCAGGATTTAAAAGATCAAAGATCAGTTGAAGAATCATCTCCAGATGATTTATCCAGAAAAGTTAGTGGAGAAGGTAATATAGGGACAATTATTGAGTCAGATTTGCAAGAAAAATATTGGTCAAAACCTAAACTTTCAGAAAATGAAATCCTTCATCAGCCAGATATTCTTTCTAAAGCTGCAACACATTTCAAGACAAATGATGCCACAGATGGGCTGGAAATTGCAGAGGTCAATAATTGCTTAAATACCCATTTGGGGTCAGAATTTAGAGATAATCTGGGGCAGGGGAAGATATTGAATGGAAAAGTGTGCTCTGACACAGCAGATACGAATAATGGCTTAGAGACCCATTTGACTCCACCAATTAGAGATAGCCCTAGGCAAGGGGAAATACTGACGGGGAGCACACATTCTGAGTCTCACTTACAAGATCTTGGTGGAAGTGGCAATTTGAATTCAAAAATTCTGGAGGAAACATGCATTGATGTTGAAGGAATAGGAGAGCATATGATTGAAGTGCAGGGTACAGACACCATCAATGAGGTGGTTGAAGGCACCGATAATTCTTCTGGTGTTACATTGTTTGCAAGACTGGAGTCCAGATTGCATGATTCAAGTCTTTCTGATGCTCAAGAAAAGGGGTTTGAAGCAGCATCAGATGATCATGCATGTGACATGACAGAACTAGGGAAAACATGCCCATCAATACCAATTACAGACACTTGCAATGCACAAAGAATAAATAAGGAACCAGAGCATGATGATGGAGTAGGAAAAAGAGAGGAGTCCTTGGGTTCGTCTGTTGTTGGGAGTATTCAGAAAGATACAGCAGAAAGTTTGGTGGAAGAAATGCTTATATTAGGGCAGGAGCGTAAAGAACTGGGAGATGAGCAGAGGCGCCTTGAGCGCAATGCGGAATCTGTAACCAGTGAAATGTTTTCAGAATGCCAGGTATGTAATCAAACTATACATTTTGGTTTCTGTCTAACTGGATTTGGTTCTGGAAAGATTTCTAGTGTGGAACTCTTTCTGTTTGCAAGTATATTATCTCAAGGTTGTTGTCTGCATGCTAGAACTTTTCTCAGTTGTCAGTTGCATCTGATAATGACATAGTTACATAATATGCCAGCAGACTTTATCACACTTGTTAAGTAATTTGTAGACACAAATGTTCCTAACATGATCTCCTTTATGGCTCATTGACTATGTTTTTATTTTAAAAATTTTTTAAAATTCATTTAGTTTATGCTTCTGTTGGTTTAATGATCATAAGCTAGGAATCTATGATTGTGCTAGGTCAACTGGTGAGGCCTTTTCACAAGCAATTGCTTAGAAATCTTGAAGAAAAGTTGTTTCCAGGGTTTTGAACTCATGACGACATGACCTAAGGACCAATGGTTAAGCTATTTGATATGATACCAAGCCCAACCCTCAATACCTTGCATAATTGCAATGTGTGTGTCCATGTGGCTCTGTCACTCCAGTATTCCAAATATCTTTTAAGTTTTAAGTTGCCTTTTTTCCTTATTTTTGTGTTTTTACTTATCTTGATATGGAGATATGTTTCTCCTCTTCTTTTTCTTAATAGAGAAGTTCAAATACTTCTCTTTGTTGGATGTATTATTTGGAAATCAGTATGAATTACAAATCTAAGTGTTACCTTTTCCCTGATTTCAGGAATTGCTTCAAATGTTTGGCTTACCGTATATTATTGCACCTATGGAAGCTGAGGCTCAATGTGCATATATGGAACTGGTCAACTTAGTTGATGGTGTGGTCACTGATGACTCTGATGCATTCTTGTTTGGTGCTCGAAGTGTGTATAAAAATATATTTGATGGTCGCAAATATGTGGAGACATATTTAATGAAGGTTAATTGCAATTTAGATTTTAGCAATGTTATCAACTCTTAAGTCTCATATTAGATCAGCTTTTAGGAAATTGTTCATTCAATTTTAGCTCCTAAGGTTCTGTCAATCATACACGAAAGACTGTTATTTATTTATTTTTTGTCCACTTTGTGTGCTATGTGTAATATAATGCTTAATCTACTCAAAATCTTATTGAGAAGTAATTTTAGTTTATCTTTCTATTTTGCTGATTTGGGGTTGCTACAACTTGTGCTGTTTTCCAGGATGTTGAAAATGAGCTTGGATTAGACAGAGAGAAATTAATCCGTATGGCAATGCTGCTTGGGAGTGACTATACTGAAGGGGTGAGGTAATGCCTTTCTCTGGTTTCTTCATTACACCCGTCCACTATATTTCTATGTCTCTCTCTTTTACTACCAAAATTCATTGGCATATTCTTTATTAAATCATGCGTCTTATTATTATTATTATTATTATTATTATTATTATTATTATTATTATTATTATTATTTTCTTGTTTATAATAGAGAGATTTCATGAGGCCTGCAAAGTTTTAACCTTTTTCTCTCTTTGATGGTGTAGTGGGATTGGTATTGTTAATGCTATCGAAGTTTTAAATGCATTTCCTGAGGAAGATGGTCTTCATAAGTTTAGGGAGTGGGTTGAATCACCTGATCCAACCATTTTAGGGAAGATTGATAGCAAATCACATGCACATCATGGGAATGATGACTGTATTCTTCAGTCAGTGGATGAAGGTCAAAAGATCAAGCAGATATTCATGGATAAACATGTAAAAACTGCACTGCCCTTGTGCTTTATTTTATTATTGATATATTTGGGAAAAATAAAGATGATACCTTATGACCTTGTTCACTTTTTTGAAACTTTTTATTCACAGAGAAATGTTAGTAAAAACTGGCACATTCCTTCTTCTTTTCCAAGTGATGCCGTAGTTTCAGCTTATGATGCTCCACAAGTTGACAAGTCAACAGAACCTTTCTCATGGGGGAAGCCAGATGTTTCTGTACTTCGCAAGTGAGTTCTATATGGTTATATTGCTTTTAAGCTCTATGTAGGGATATATCTAATTCTTTCTTATTTTGTGTAATTATTCATAGAACTCAGTTTCATTTTTAGATGCCTTGACTGCAACAAACATCTGTCATTTTCCAGAATAGCACATAGCTAATTGAAGAGCATTTATATGTCAAGTGCCAACTAGATGTCCACATAACAAACTTAAACTAATGGGCTATGGCCTACGGCCCTTAATTCCTTGTTTTTTATTTGATGGTTAAGTGTTTTATAATTAAAAAGCACCAAACAAGGTGGAACTTAAGTACCTTGAAATGAACTTACAAGAAAGATCCATTACAATTTACAAACTTCAAAACCCAAAATAAAAAAAATCTTGCAAAGCTCACAACACCAAAGGGCCAAAACTCAAAAAACCAATACCCACCGTCAAAGAAACCAAATGTGTGCCCAATTTTAAACTTGGTGACCCACTTCCCTTATTAAATTTTGTTCTTTCCTTTGATTTATGACTTCCACTGATTATGTAGTTTTTATTTTCTTGCTCTGAAAGATCTGAGAATATGCTGTAGGTTATGTTGGGAAAAGTTTGGATGGACTGTTCAGAAGACGGATGAGTTGCTAACACCTGTACTGAAGGAGTACAATAAACACGAGGTTAATCAATTTCACCCTATTATGCTATTCCCATGAAGCATATTATTGAATAAAATTGCTCTCCTTTCCTAATACATAGGGACTTTACTTGATGCTACTTTACTAAAGAACTTGTTATAATTGTTTTCCAGTAGACATGATCAGCATGCCCACTTGATGGTAATGTAACATTTTACACATTGATTATGCAGAAAAAGACTATTAAAATAATAAAACTTTACACAATCTTTAAGTTGGATTCTTAACTGTCTCATTTTATATGCTGTTATATGCATTCTTTTGGACCGAGGAAAAAGAAACAATGCTAACATTTTATCTATTTCAAATTCTTTAGACTCAACTTCGCTTGGAAGCATTCTACGCTTTCAATGAAAGATTTGCAAAAATTCGTAGTAAGAGGATAAAAAAAGCATTGAAAAGTATGACAGGCAACTGCTCATTGGAATTGATGGATGATGCTGCAGAAGATGTGAATGCAAGGAGAAGGAAACAAAAAGTGAACCCTAATGATGAGAAGGGGACTAACTTAGAGACTGACTCAGTAGGAGTACAGTCTGCTGGTGGTGATGAGATTAAGACTGCAAAAGAATCACCTGGAAAGCAGCCCAGAAAAAGTAAGGGAGAGCGCTTACAGAGTGGAGGAGCAGCTAAAAGGCAGAAAGGAAGTAAAGAATCAAATGCTAAGCGAAGACCGAAAGGACAAGAGCGAATAGTATCCGTTGGTAAGGAAAGGAAGAGGAAGAATTCTTGTTCCAGATCTAATGACACCAGCTCCTCCACAGATAAAACTAACAGTGATGAAGAGCAAGAAACAGAAATTGAGAAGCTTGAAGTGTCACAAGTACGAAGGGTAAGTTCTATCTTGCCCATTACTTTCATATACTCATTCTTTATGAGCTCTTTGGTATTGTCATATATCTACTTTTTATTTTTCTTTACCAGCACATACTTTGGATCTGTGTCAGTACCCATCTTTTTTTTAGACATTGTTCTCTCTGTTCCCTGGTCAAATGATTGTCACCTTGGAGATATTTTCTTGCGACACTAAATTGCTCCACTTGAGGGGGTGAGATATGGCATGCTGGTGTTTTGCCACACTGCGGCTCGCACTTTTTCGTATTAGTGGTGTAAACTTGTATCAATGTTATGATGGATTTTCTCCTATTTTTACAATTTATAAATTTCTAATGACTTGTCTTGAATCTTGCAGTCAGAGCGGCCGCGTAAAGTAGTGAGTTACACTGATCTAGAAGATGAGCATAACAAAGTTGAACATTCTTTTAGTGAAGAGGCAATGAAGAGAGAGTTGGTTCAAGATCCTAGCTATGCTCAAGGTTCCCCTGGTGACTTGGGCAAAATAAATGAGGATGTGTTCAAAGGTGAAGAATTCTTAATGGCCTCCCTTGATACAGGTGGTGGTTTCGGCATGGATGGGACAGAAATGGAATCAGTTAGTGCTCAATTGGTTTGTGGCGATGATAACAATCCTGTTTCTGGGGATCAATCATCCAAAGACTACCTTATGTCTGGAGGTGGATTTTGTTTGGAGGAAGATGACACAAACACAGAATTGGGAGATTTTGCTCTTGGTACAATACCAGAGGAAAACTCTGATTTTTCACACCAATCTTCTATTCAAGAAGAAAATCTAGAAACTGATCTAGTAGATGAATTGGATTCCAACCAATTGAATAAAGAGGAGACTATGCGTGCTTCTGAAACTGAGCCAAATCTTAATGAAGATAGCCCCAAGGTGGCAATTCCTCAGGAAAACATTGTGGAGGATGATTTAATAACTGGTTCTGTAAAATCTCTTCGTGCAATGCCCAACTTAAGAAAGAAAAGAAGGAAGGTTTAATATTCCTTTCACTTCAATCCTGTGTATTTGGAGTATTGAATTTTGATGTGTTTGCTGGTTGTTTATGCTGCAAGATAGCTCCCGGGCCGGGGCCGCAAGCTTTGGTATTTATATCCTTGCACCTTACTGTTTGCCCGCCCCCGCCCTTGTGATGCTCAGCCCAGGAAACTATCTATATTCCGATCCACCTTAATCCAATTTTTTATGTTACAACCTTATTTGATGATTTAGTAAAGATGGAAAAATTTTACAAATAGAAAGTAGCATCTCTCCTCTTTCTTTTTGTTACTCCGTATTTGTTCTAATTTCATTTTTTCTTTTTGTTGTAAACTTTATAGATCTTGTTTTACACTTTTACGTACGAGATCTTGTTGGAGCAAAATACAGTTCTTTAATCCTGGCTATTTCCAGCCGTCAGATTTACCTTATTCGGTGGAAACACAGTCATCGAAGTGGGACAGCTAACAACTTTGGTACCATGGTACAACTGTCACTGTCTTGTTGCATCAATTGATTGACCTGAAAAAGAGAAATTACATCATTTTAACCGTTATCAACAATCATATCACATCTTCAACAAAAAAAAAAAAAAAAAAAAAAAAAACAATCATATCACATTTGGTTCAACTATGATTTTAACGGTTAGAGGCTTAGAGCCTAGTTTATTTTTGTTACATTTTTTAGGAGTTTTTGTAAGTGTGATTGGAAAAGAATTAAAAATGTAAAAAAATAATAAATAAATAAATTTTGATATTAATAAAAAATAAGAAGGAGAATTTATTCCATTTATCATTTTCCAAACTAAATTATATGTATCAGAGCTAGTGTGTAAACGAATCAAATATTTTTAATTCGATTCGTGATTTGTATTTAAATATTTTGATTTGAATTTAAATTATTCAAATACAAATCCAAATTCGAATTAAATTTTATTCTTATTTGAATCAAAATTTAAATTTAAATATTTATAGAATGCGAATAGATTTCAAAATAGTCGAATTCGAATCAAATTATGAGATATTTGATTCGATTCGATTCGTTTACAGCTGACATCTTAACTACTACTATTATTTTATCTTGCGATATATATAATGCTGTAATTGTTGAGGTGTTTTGTGAAATGTACTGTTAAGTGCAGAATTGCAGATAGGTGGACATTACATCTCCGGCCATGGCGACCCAGTTTTTGAAGAACGAAGTGCTGCCCTTTGCGACTATGTTCATGGTGGAGACCTGCGAGATGTCAATTGTGATTCTTGCAAAAGCCGCCATGAATGCGGGCTTGAACACCCTTGTGTACGTCGTTTACTACAACTCCCTCGGCACTCTCCTCCTCCTTCCATACGTCGTCTTCTACCGTAGAAGCAGGTCAGAGACCTCTCTATATATCTCTCTCTCTGTGATTTTAGTCTTTCTGGAAGTTTCTATTTGATTTTCCATTTCTTCGGTGGCCGCTGACTAAAGTCTTACCCTTTCCTGTTTCAGAACTCACCCTCTTCCTATTAGCTTCTCGATTCTCCATAGATGCTTCATCCTCGGCTTGCTCGGGTATTAATTACAGTATTAAATTAAGATGATATCTTTCTTCTAAGCTTAATGCTAGCTACTTACTAAGTGAATGAAATTTACTGCAGGATTTGTTTGCTTCAGATCCTTGCTTATACTGGGATCAACTACAGCTCCCCAACTCTGGCGGCAGGGATTGGAAATTTGATGCCCGGTTTCACCTTTATTCTAGCAGTCATTTTCAGGTAGGTAGGAGAAAGATGGAGCCTGTGCACTTCAATTTTGCTCAAATCATACTCTTATTCATAATGGGGTTTCAACAATAATCTTCTTTAATTGGAAGGGGTTTGGTTTTTGTCTTGGATGTTGCAATTTGTAGGATGGAGAGGTTAGATTTAAGAGAGATTACTAGTCAGGCAAAATCTTTGGGCACTGTAGTGGCTATTACAGGTGCAATGGTCATGACTTTGTATCAAGGACCTACCCTTTTTGGATCTACACATTCTGAATCAACTCACCCACCTCTTGAATCAACTCACCAATCTCTCTTATCACAAAACTCAAACTGGGTTCTTGGTGGTTGCCTCATTACTCTTACTTCCCTTATGTCTTCTGGGTGGAATATTCTTCAGGTAATCTGGGGCATCATACCCATACATCACATTTGTCAAAAAAGTGTTCTGATTTTATGGGTAATTAGTAGAATATAAGACCTTGGTTTCATTTTATAATTTTGTGTGCAGACTGCTACTTTGAAGGAGTACCCTGAGCAACCCACAGTAGTGTTCTTCTTTTGTTGTTTTGGAACCATACAATGTATAATTTACTCTGCAATAGCAGAAAGAAATCTAGATGACTGGTTGCAGCTTCCTGGCATTGCGATTATAGCCATTGTCTTCTCAGTAAGGAATTTTTAGTCAGAAAGTATTCCTTATCAGTGAGAACGCGACTTTTTTTTTTTTTTTTTCGCTGATAATGACCAATTATGTATCTGCATTGTAGGCTGTCTGTGGGTCAGTGTTTCGTTTCAATGTCTTGACTTGGTGTTTGGACAAGAAGGGTCCTCTTTATGTAGCCATGTTCAAGCCTGTGGGAGTGATCATTGCAGCAATCATGGAGATCATGTTCCTCGGAGGTTCGCTTCATTTGGGCAGGTATATACAAAAACAATATTGCAACAGTAGCTGAAAACAACATAAGAACACCATTAACTGAACTATGATCTTCCCCGTCCTTAATTAAGATGGTTTCCAACTTCCCATGTACTGTTTTTTCAGCGTGATCGGAGCTATCATAAGCTCTGCTGGATTTTACACCGTGCTGTGGGGGCAAGCCAAAGAGAACGCTGCTATGCTCAAGCTTGATGACAGTGATTGTGGCGCCAAATCATCGAGCAACAGAGCCCCTCTGTTGGAGTAATGTAATGCAGGATACTATCTGAAGCTGGATATTGTTATTATTGTATGCTTATGCTTTGCAGAACAGGTAATTAGAAATTCATTAAAAGCTTAAGCTTAAAGCATGGTTTCAGTATCCTCAATCTTCAAAAATTCAAGTAAAATTTGTAATGGGTAATCTCTATTAATAGTGGAATGAATGAATGATTGATTCAGTATCTGGCTAACAAGCCTGCAATCTTTCCCACTGCCAGCCGTAACACTCCTAAACAGTATCACTTGATGATGTTTGACATTACATTGTTTAATGTTAGAATATGACTGCCTACCCACTCAATCAATGCACATGACAACTTGTAAAGGACAAACTTAACCATAAAGAAAGAACAATGCAACTGGTACTGATAAATGTTAGGACATCCTCAATAGGTATTTTTTTTTTTTTCTTTTTTTTTTTTTTAAGGTGACAATCAGGGGAGAGAAGGAAAAAGAGAAAATGGGGAGAAAAAGAAAAAGATAAAAGAAAAAGCTGACAGTGAACACTGCTAGAGAATACTTCATTTGACTTTTGATTGGGATTCACAAAGATCCTTGATTTGTAGGAGAAAAAATTAATTAAAAATGATGCTTTCCATTTGTCAAAAATTAATGTATGATTTTTTTTTTCTTTTGACAAAAACCAACAAATAATGTCAAATGAGGATGCTCTTAGATGTTTGAGCTGTGATGCATACCTCTCTAACCTCAACACAAGTAAATAAGATGAAGTTACGTTAAATGGTATAATATCTTATATAAAATTTAGTTATAGTTTAAGTCTATAAGATACACAAGAACGTCGAAATTAATCTCTTAAATACAAGAGTAAGCTAATGTCATCGTTAATTATGCACCAAGTTTCTGATTTGATAAGTTTGGGTGAGTGATTTTATTATAATTAATCTAAAAAAAGAAAACATTATCAATAAAGCACTTTTTCCCTAGCTTGTCATAATTTCACTAACAAATTGAGTGTGTTGAGCATGCAATATCATGCATAAAAGGTGTTGCACTATAGGGAGGAGAATGACAATTGACAAGGAATGAAGATAAAAGGGAGAGGTTTTGTGGTTGGAGAAGGCCGGTTAAGCAAGTTGGGCAGGGATCTATTTATTTATTTGTGGGAAGTGGGGACATGAATGAAGATGCATTTTTCTTTTGACTTTAGTAATAATTATATCCATGCAATAGATGGGGCATGACACACGCCACCTTGGGTCCAATAATTTAGCACAAATACGTCACCTATCGACTCATAATACACATTCAATAGTCGCATTCCCATCTCCCTAACTCTCTATATATATACTTTTAAAATAATGTTACATTTTTTTATTTTTATTTTATTTTTACAAAAAATGGGGTCTTTTTATTCTAACTGGTTTAACTACTCTAAAAATCTTTATCAGTTTAATTTGTGATAAGATGAGGAGTTCAAAATAAATCTGGGAAACAAGCTTCATTAGTGTGAGTGGTTGTGCACTCTCATCCATCTCATCCCTTAAAAGAGGTTGGACATTCAAAACTCCTCTCATATAGAAAAATCAATATGACAAGCATTTTGCTCCTTAATTAGGTTAGCAAGGCACCTAGGAAAAATATTACTCATTTCATTCTATTTTATATAGTACGTGCTCGAAGGTACCTATTATAATTAGGGTTTACTCAGGATACTTAGAAAAATATTACTCATTTCGTCTTATTTTATGTGTCTGATTCTATTAACAAGGATTAACTGAAACTATTTTTAATTGAATTTTTTATAATGATATTTAGTATTAGTGTATGAAATTTATATATTTAGAAATTACACTAAACATATTATTATTAAACACAAAAAAAATTTAAAATAATTTAAAAAATAAGCAAACAAGAAAGAGTTCATTTGCTAAAAATTAATAAACATGATAGGTAAAATGGAGAGAGTGAGAGCAGTATTTAGAAAGAAATAAATAATAAAATAATATTTGTAGTACTCAACAAAAATAAGTAAAAAAAAAAAGTTTATTTGATCAGAAAATAGTAAAATGGAGGGGGTGAGAGCAATATTTGAAAAGAAATAAATATAAATAATAAAATAATATCATCTTCTTCTCCATTAATAATAATAATAAAATAATATCTGTAGCAATAGAGGACGGTGTCACATCAGTTATTATAGTTGGAGTGTGGACGGAACACACCCACTGATATATTTCATAATAAAATATATAAAATACCAAATTGGCATTGGCACGCAACATAAGAAAGCTGGATTGGTGCTTTTAAAAAAGGGCATCCTAATTCATATTGACGTGAGAACTGTGAAGAAGCTAGCTAGCTAGCTAACGTTGAAGAAGAAGAAGAAGAAAGGCAGACGGGAGAGCTAGCAATTTAAGCACCACAAGTAACAGAGATGGCGACGAAACCGGCCGCCGTCGTCGGAGAAAGAGGAGAGGGGCGGTACTCGACGGCGATGTACAAGGAGGTGTTGCCGTTCGCGGCTTTGGTGGCGATGGAATGCATAAATGTAGGGCTAAACACGCTGTTCAAAGCCGCAACTAATCACGGCATGAACAACCACGTCTTCATCGTCTACGCTTATGCCGTCGCCGCCGTCTGTCTCCTCCCCGCTCCCTTCTTCTCCGGCAGGTAATTCAAATTTAACGCACTTAAAATCACTCACACATATATATTAGCTACTGATTTAATCAAATCAGCTCGATCTCCATATATATATATATATATACAGATCAAGAGTGCTTCCTCCACTTAACACCTCAATCATGCTCAAAATTTTCCTTCTGGGCGTAATCGGGTATGAACGAACACAAATCAACCTACATCTACATCTGGATTAAGCAATTTTATTATTTAATTTCCTAAAATATATTTAATTAATTTATTTTGTATCGGATAATACTGGGCTGGGCAGATGCGCGTCGCAGATAATGGGGTACACAGGAATCAACTACAGCTCTCCGACTCTTGCCTCCGCCATCAGCAATCTTGTCCCGGCTTTTACTTTCATTCTCGCACTCATTTTCAGGTTCCTATTTCCGCCACTTTTTAATTTTTTCTGTCATTTTCTGCCCCCTCCCTCTACTTGTCTTCATGTTGCCAGTCAAAATCACCTCAATTTTCCGCATTTTTTCAAAATCACATATAATTGTACATGCTACTTGTTGAGTTGCAATCCAACTATCTTAGGCTTTTAGTTACGACTACGGTCCATTGCTTGGAACCACCGCACACGTTCTTCAATTGGCCAATCATATAGAAAATTTCCTATTTAAACTTAATATATTTAAAAGCTATTAATTTAGAGTAATTTATATTCTTGTACTTTGTTTGTAGGATGGAAACAGTAGTGTTTAGGAGTGCAACTAGCAGGGCAAAGGTTGTGGGAACTATAGTGTCAGTAACAGGGGCATTTGTAGTAACTCTGTACCAAGGCCCCAGAATTGCATTCACTTCTACTTCACCATCAAACGCAATCCAACTTCTGACCTCCACACAACCAAACTGGATGTTAGGTGGCCTTTTTCTTACAACAGAGTATCTTTTGGTCCCAATGTGGTATATAGTCCAGGTAAGTGTGAGCATATAGTCATTAATGTACAATCCAACTATAAGCTTAGACTTTTAGTTGAGATGGAACACATGCTTTAATTGTAAGGATCAGGATGGATATTCATTCCCAGTTGCCACACCCATATACTGCATGCAATGGAAGTAATTAATTAGTGGTTGGTTCATCTTAATTATGAACAGACACAAATCATGAAGGTATACCCATCAGAAATGACTGTGGTCTTCTTCTACAACCTAACCGTTAGCATCCTTGCTGCAATCGTGGGTGTTTTCATGGTACCGGACCTCAATCAATGGCGGATTAGGCTGGATATCTCACTAGTCTCAATCCTATGTTCAGTAAGTTGGTTTATGATAGATGGTGTTTAAATCCTAGTTCCCTTGATAGCTAGCTTCTAAGACTGGATTTTGTAATTCAATAGGGGATCTTTGGGTCTTTTGTGAACAATACTATCCACACATGGGCATTGAGAGTTAAAGGCCCAGTGTATGTAGCAATGTTCAAGCCACTGTCAATTGCCATAGCAGTAGCCATGGGAGTGATACTCTTGGGTGATACTCTCTATTTGGGAAGGTATATCATCCTACCTATGTTATATTATTCACTTCTCTAGCTTAGTACTACTCTATTCACAATTCACACCCCACTTTTCTCCTTTTCCTTGTATTTTCAGCATTATTGGAGCAACAATCATAGCCATGGGATTCTACACTGTACTGTGGGGTAAAGCTCAAGAACAGGATGACTACTACAAAGAGAGTGATGATTTGGAGTCTCCTACTGCTGAAAAGTACCCCTTGTTACAAAGTTATAAACACGAAGACGTATCAAACAGGTAGGCCATCAGACAAAATGTGATTTGCCAAAATTGTTGTACTTAAAATATCTGTGCATATGAATTGCAAGATCCTAAGCTGGAAACTTGCCTCCTTAGAAGCTAAGCCAGCCATGTACAGTAGTAGTTATGTAAGATACAAAATAGGCTGCCGGCCAGCAGGAGGAAAGTGCCAGCCAGATGTGCTACCAATTCCTGTTTATATGTATACCTCAATGGAAAGGACATATTACTACATTCTAGCATACACTTGAAACGTCCGTTCACTGCAACAAAAGTAAAAAAATGTCTTTTGCTTAAGGCATCTCACACTATGACTTCCTTTTCATGCCTTAATTATCAGATATGGCTGCCGGTATACCATTCGTTTTAAGAATGTCTGGTGTGGCTGCTTTTGCAGTTTTAGTCTACAGGACTACAACCTACAACAAAAAATAAATAATACTAATCATAAGATGAGAGACAACAAGTGAGGAGATGAAAGAAAAGAAAATGGGGCGGGTGGGCAGAGAGAACACCTCATCTAAATCTAAATCAAACTTCAAGTACTCTTCTTCACAAGTCTCTACCATTTTAGCAAGTTCTTCAGATTTTCAACTGGCTTGCCATTGAATGCAATAACCTATATGAACTGAATTAGATTTCACAATAAAGTATTAAATAACTAATGTGTCTAATCTGTAGCTCCAGAGAAATAAATCAAGCTCTAAACTGGTTTATTCTGATTTCATCAGATAATTCTACCGATGTTACTCTCACCTAAGAATTTACGATGTCTTCATATCCGATATTAATGTTAGCCACAATCACCTATAAGAAATTTCATAAAGAAGCTTAAATAAATTCTACTTCTAAGTTCTAAATAAAATGCAGTAATGAAATATTAAAGTGAGACTGATATTTAAAAACCTGAGAGAGAACGACAAGCTCCTCATCAACGGATTGTGTCATTTCATACAGAAGTTGTTCCACAATTTAACTGGACAAGTATACTCTTAATCTTTCTCATACTGAAAGTGCAAACAAGCATTACGGCATATATGAACACGTAAATCTTTAATGCCACATATACACTAATTGAGTAGTCAAGTAAGTACACACCTCTGAGCGCAAATATAAATAAGGAGGTTTTGCCTTAGTGTGTCCTGAGATTAATTTTTTTTCATGAAAATTAGAATAATGCTTATTTGAAAACTTATCTCTAGGGGGAGAGAGTTTTTCCCAACTGGGTTATAATGCACCTGAGTCAAACTACACTAAAAGATTTAATCCAACCAATTAGCTATTCTAATTCATGGTCTTATAAACGCATATGTTCTCTATTATTTTATCAATGTGGGACTCTTAACACTCCCTTCAAGTGGACCGAACATGCTCTTATACCATGTTACTAGGTGAACCCAAAGTGGACTGAATAGAATTTGATACCACCAAAGTGGACCGAACAAGTATGCCTACGAAAGCTTGGATGCCACCAATACCTAGTGGACCGAACAGACTCTGATACTACCAAAGTAGACTGAACAAGCCGGCTTACAAAACTTGGACGCCACTAATACCCATAACCGAGTGAGTTCGGCTCTAATACCATGTTACCAAGTGAACCAAAGAATGACAATTCAACCCGGCCCTGACAAAGAAAATAGATTCCCGCCCCGACGGGGGGCGGATTCGGGGAATCGGGTTCTGGGTCGGGGCGAGGAATGAGAGCATTCCTTAAAAGTTAAAACTACATAATTACTGACAATTATGTAGTTTTAATTACAAGAAACACAGTTCTAATTAACTGACAAGTGAATTTAAAACTACATAGTTATTACTTAACTGGGACCGTGAACACGGTTCTATGTTTATAATTACTGAACTATATGTTCATAATTATAAAATTATATATTCATAATTTTTGAACTTCATATTCACAATTATTGAATCTCTATATTTATAATTACAGAACTATATATTCATAATTATATAATTATATAATTATATGTTCGTAACTTTTGAACTATATATTTATAATTATGAACAATTTTGAAACAGTATCCACCTTACAAAGTGGACATGATTCCAGCATAATTTGCCAAGATACTATGCTTAGGCCCACGAAGTTGCTTTAATTGGGCTAGAAAGCTTACCTTCTTTTCGCATGGCCCATTTATTCCCAAACATGGGCTTCGGGTTAATTGGGCTTTGAACCACTAAGATCAATTATTAATTTATTATAGACAGGGCCCATAAGCGGCTACAAGACCTTTCATAGCATGGATCAAGGTCCACCTTGCAAGGTAGACCATTGTATTAAATTGTATATTTTTAATATTAAATTGTAAATTTTTAAAATATAAATTGTGTTTCTATGACGTCAAGTCCGTAGTAACTTAGGAGTTTAACACCCTGAGCTATGACGTCAAGCAACTTAATTTTGGAAAAAGGTCGACTCAGCTTGAATACGTGAGTATAGTATGCACGATTTGTATATGCCCATCATTGGTTAACTTGGATTTTTTTTTTTTTTTTTTAACATGTTGATATAGTGTCTTAACAAGTTAACTTGTTATGAATTCAAACTTAAATGAGTTATTATCGCTTCAATTCGCTAACAACTCAAGACACAGTAAAACTAAATTCAAACTTGTTATTTTTATAATCAGTGTGTCACGTCAAAATTTATTGTCTATTCAAAACATAAAAAATTGTATAATATCAAGTGCTAGATTTTCTCTAAATATTATACCAAACAAAATTTTATAACACATGTATTTTGACCCCACATTATATTGGAAAGTCACTTGATAGAGAGATGGATAGGTATTGTACTCGTCACATGGGGTGATGGGAGGTTAAGTTATTGGGGACATATATAGGGGTAGCATGTATTATACATGTATAACATCTCAAGGGATATGATGAGATATATTGAAGGTTGTTGAGATGCATGCTTTGCTTGCTACGTATAGTTGGCTGTGGGCACAGCCTGCGGGACAAGGACTTGCTTCTCATCTCATCTATTCATCTCAATTCTCATCAATGGCAACCAATTTTATAACTAGTGAAATAATACTTTATTAATTTATTACCTAAAAGTTCGTAACTACTACTTGAATATGCGTTTTAAGTGAATCTCGCATTATATATAATCTTAGTTGACAAAGGACCACAAAGGTATAAGATGTTAAACTAGTATATGTTGCTCATAACTTATTGATTCAAATCAAGAATGTCAATAGACTAAGTTAAAATTATGGGTTGAGTACTAGCAGTCTTGCACCCAGCCTTGCCCTAGTAGTCGGCCTAGATCTATTTTGGCCTGAGATTCTAGGATAGGAGTACTCATTTTTAGAAATCAGATGATTTGAGATTTCTTTTAACAATATTTCGTTCTTATTGTACTTTTTTCATATTATTTCATTTGATTTTTGACTGGTTGTGTTGGTCAATCTTTGACTACCTAAGTCGTAAAATTAACAATACTATTATATATAATGGTAATATCTTTATACAGATATACCATTACTAGTGCTAATCTATACTATATAGAAGTTTCATATTATTTTATGTTCAAAGTATAAAAAGACTTGAAATTATATTGAGATATATATTTAAATTGACGAAGATTGTTTGGTGTAGTGGCGCATGGCCAGCGGATAAAACTTAATAATGGAAACGAGCAATGGAAGGTGGGTGACGCAAGGTTGAATGGACCATAAAACAAATCGAATCAGATTCATCAAAATAATTGAGCATTCTCAAATGGTTAAGTCCAAGAAACAGATGTGGTGGTTTGTTCCACATCATTACACAGATAATTACAACACCATCACGGTTCATGTGAGTGAACCCAGAAAAAAAAAAAAAAGTTTTTTTCTCGTCATGAGAAAACCCCTGTCCCAGGTTGTCCCTTCATGACTGTCCCATGTCCCATTCTTGCTCCACCGTCGGCGGAGTGTATAAAAATGTGAAAAATGGCTTTAACTTTTTTGTGCCCATTCTTGCCCGGAATTACCCCATTTCATAATGGGTATTTGAGTTAGATTCACAAGACAGTCGCTATTACCATACGTTCTGAGTAAAGATCACAGATTAAAGATTTCAAAGAGATAAATCATCCTAAGTTATTCAATTGAGTATTTACCTTCATATATGTTCATGAATCATGAGTTAGTCAAGTAGTTACCTAATGGTGATAGCTTGTGGTAACATACTCTAATGATGATTGGTTTTCTAAAGAATGGGAATGGCATTAGGTGATGACTATGGGCAATTGGGCACCCCCACCCACTTCTTAATTGCTCACTAATACAAATTCTTATGATGGGGTATATTGGTGTGGAATTAACTTTGGGCACCACCAACAACTAATATCAAAAGATTAATAAGTTGTCCCGAGTCTGCTAGGATATTGGTTTAGTGGTTGACGATCTTCGCTTAAAACTTGTTTCCAAGTGACAAATAATTTGGATAAAGTTTTGATCTTTGTCACGAACATTGAGAGTTTGGATTTGTAAAGAAGTTGGGCGAACTGGGTAATCTAAAATTGGTTGGTGTTGGTTGAAAGTGATGGGAATCTGCATTTGTCCATCCAAATTACCCAAAATTACCAACACAAATACTCATCTCAGCAATAGTCAGCTGTTCTGGCTATTTTGTCATTCAGTTGAGAGTTTTCAATGTCAATTCAATAATTCGGTCCTGTGGGCATTGGTGTTCATTCAATCTTCTTAAATTTCAAATTTGCCTTTCACCTTAACTCCAGAAATCCCTTCACCTTCTTCATCATCATTATCAGTACTGAAGTAGTTCTGTATTGGCATATTCTTGATTCTCTTTCTCTCTCCGGTTCTAATACATAATTGGTCAACTGATACCTCATATCATCTCTCAGTATAGTGGCATTATATTCCTTCTGTGTTCAAGATCTATCAAGATTTCCAGTGATATAAGTTTACTGGAAATGTCATCTTTGAATTTGAGCAGAATTTGATGTTTTTGGATTTGTATATATGCCCAGAATTGAAGAACATGGCACCAAGTTCTGTAGTGGTAACCATTGAGAGCTCCAAGAGCATTTCTCGAATTGAAGTCATGGATTCGAATTCCCGGGATAAAGAAAAGGCTGCAAATCCGAAAACAGTGTCGTGGGTGCTTCTTCTCAGAGCTCTGGCGTGCCTTCCATGGCTGGCAACGGGTGTTTGCTCCACATTTTCGACTGTTAAGAAACGCATTGCGAACGATGTGAGGGATGAAGATCCCAAGTACAGAGGGAAAGTGTACAGGTTTATCAGAGCCTTTCTTGCAGTTTCTGTGGTGGGATTGATTCTGGAGGTGATTGCGTTCTACAATGAATGGGATTTGAGCCTTGCAGCTCCCTGGGAGGTTCACAATATCTGGCAATGGACTTACATGTCTTGGCTGTCTCTCAGAGCAGACTATGTTGCTCCCTCCATTGTCACCCTCTCCAAGTTCTGCACCGTCCTGTTCCTCATACAATCCTTGGACCGCCTCGCCCTCTGTCTCGGCTGCTTCTGGATTAAGTTCAAGAAGCTCAAGCCACAAATGGAGGAGAATGCATATGACCCAGAAGATTGCTCAAGCTTCCCCATGGTTCTTGTGCAGATTCCCATGTGTAATGAAAAAGAGGTACTTTTACATGCTCATATTTCTCAATTTTTTAGTAACCAGAACCTTTGATCTGACTCTAATACCAAATTGAAGCATGTGCTCCATCTCAACTAAAATAGTTGGATTGCACATTGATGACTATATGCTAAACAGCCACTATCCGAGGACTATAAACCCTTCTTATGAGTCTAGTTGATAAAAGAATAGGTAAACCAGTCTAGATTGTTCATAGTCGAACTAGTTATAAGTGGTTTTAGATGGAAACTAATTTAAGTTGCTTAAATCTCAAGGTTTTTGCACAATCAATAGCGGCGGCTTGCCAGTTGGATTGGCCAAAAGATCGTCTTCTGGTCCAAGTTCTGGACGATTCAGACGACGAGGCTTTACAGCAAATGATCAGGAATGAAGTTCTGTCATGGAATGGGAAAGGCATGAACATAGTCTACCGACATCGTTTCATCAGAACAGGTTACAAAGCCGGCAACCTTAAATCAGCAATGGCGTGTGACTACGTTAAGGACTACGAATTCGTGGCAATCTTCGATGCAGACTTCCAACCCAGCCCAGATTTCCTCAAACAGACAATTCCCCATTTTAAGGTAATTAATTTAATGATTCTGAACTATGTAAGTTGATAGATAGAATTTGGCTGAGAATGAAAAACAATGTTGGTTCTGTCAGGGGAAACCAGAAGTGGGACTTGTTCAGGCACGGTGGAGCTTCGTGAACAAGGACGAGAATTTGATCACCCGCCTTCAGAACATCAACATGTGCTTCCATTTCGAGGTGGAGCAGCAAGTGAATGGGTATTTCCTCAACTTCTTCGGGTTCAATGGGACCGCGGGGGTGTGGAGAATCGCCGCCCTGGAAGAGTCCGGTGGGTGGCTCGAAAGGACTACTGTGGAAGACATGGATATCGCGGTTCGAGCACACTTGAATGGATGGAAATTCATATACCTCAACAATGTCCGGGTGCTCTGTGAGCTCCCAGAGTCCTATGAAACCTACAAGAAACAGCAGCATCGTTGGCATTCTGGTCCTATGCAGCTCTTCAGATTATGCCTTCCAGCCATTTTAACTTCCAAGGTATATACATGACCTGAAAAGTAACCAATATATTTATAGGCATCTAATTCTTCCTCATATTCCAGACAAACTCAAGGTTGTCATGTTGATGCAGATATCAATTTGGAAGAAGGGCAATTTGATCTTCCTGTTCTTTCTCCTGAGGAAGCTGATACTTCCATTTTACTCCTTTATGCTCTTCTGCATCATACTTCCTCTAACAATGTTCATCCCAGAAGCTGAACTACCTCCATGGGTGATCTGTTACATTCCCATTATCATGTCCATCTTGAACATCCTCCCAGCCCCGAAATCTTTCCCGTTCTTGATGCCATACCTCCTCTTCGAGAACACCATGTCCGTCACAAAGTTCAACGCCATGGTCTCGGGTTTATTCCAATTAGGCAGCGCCTACGAGTGGGTAGTGACCAAGAAGACGGGGCGCTCATCCGAGCCAGACTTGCTAGCTTTAGCAGAGAGGGAATCCAAAGGGGATAAACTCCAGAGACAGCTATCCGAATCCGGGCTCGAAATGTATACTAAAATGAAGGAGAAAGAGGTGCAGGCTATCCCCATTTCTGCAAAGAAGACTAAGAGAAACAGGATTTACAGACAGGAATTGGCTCTTGCTCTCCTCCTCCTCACTGCTGCTGCAAGAAGCTTACTGTCTGCTCATGGGATTCACTTCTATTACTTGCTGTTCCAAGGCTTAACTTTTCTAGTTGTCAGTCTCGACCTCATCGGAGAACAGGTGAGCTAAGCAACCTTAGCTCACCCGCCAACCGCATAGGCCTTGTTTGGCAGTTAACCGCTAAAATGGGCCAACCAGCTAAAGACAGCTGATTACCAAACAAGGCCATAGTCAATTTGCCACAAACAGGATTCTACTACAAATACTCAAATATAGACATATATAGTTATATTATACAGGTGAATGAATCTAAGGAGTAGCATACTGATTTTTTTTTTCTCTCTTTGTAATTATAAGTGCCTTGAGTATTTGTAATAAACTAATAATATAGGGAGTAATATATTACTATAATGTATGATATAATATGAATAAAGTATTTCCAATGGTTTTTGAGTGAAAATGTTTAAGTTTGTATTTTTGTATCGAAGGCATCTATGTTATTATCTCTATCAAATAAAGTTGATTGTTTAGGTCAAACTCTATATTTAATTGTTTACTTATGAATAGTGGAAATTGGACCACCTGTATGGTGATTTGACAACGTTATCAAATATCAACACGTGGAATATAACATAAATATTTCAATTAGAGTTGTCTATCAATTTTATTAACTTGAATTAATTAGCTATGGACAATTTAACTTATTTTTTTTGTGTGTTAATGTTACAATGAGGATTTATTCAAAACGCACATTCGGATAGTTGTACGTGACAATTATGAATATTTTAGGTTGATTTATCTCTTTTTGATTCATTATTGGTTACTGGCTAGTGTCAGTGTATCATAAGATGAATTTTATCCAAAATGTATATTCATATAGCAGCTGCAAACTAGCTCATAAATTACATAGACAGGTAAATCGTGATAAAAAAATCTTGTGCAATAGGCTAAATTAAAATGATGTTAACAAAAATTAAATTTATGATATTTGGTATAAAAATCATGTGTCCACTCACCAGAACATCCTTTTTGGACTCTAATATATATATAAATTTTCAGCTTACAGCATCCAGTATAAGATTAATTTAATTTCGATTTGAAAATAAAAATATTTGGATAAGAAATCCAAGAAAAGGCGTCGAAGTCAATAGCCTACTTCAGAAGCGCGAACGATAAACAATCGCGTGTTCACCTTGCAAGATAAACACGATTCTATGTTCATAATTATAAAATTATATATTCATAATTTTTGAACTTTATATTCATAATTATTGAACTATATGTTCATGATTATAGAATTATATATTCATAATTTTGAACTTCATATTCACAATTATTAAACCTCTATATTTATAGAACTATATATTCATAATTATGTTCACAATTCTATATTCATGATTGTGAAACTATATATTCATATTTTTAAATTATATATTCATTATTATGATAGTTTTAAAACCGTATCCACCATACAAGATAAACACGGTTCCACCGCAAAATTTGCCAAAGACAAATAGTTGGGCTTCTTACAAAAAAGCCCAATAATTTTCCCGCCAAAGAGCCCAAGGACGTAAGTTACAGCAGCTCACTGTCAAAACTGGAAGTACAGTTGCTAGAGCTCGGAGCTGAAGTCTTCCGCTTCGCCCGAAAATCTGCCGCCGGTGAGTAACAGCGTCCGCAGATCACTTATAGCTCTTCATTTTCGGGATTATTTTAATATTTTCCCCTTTTGTTTTTTTGTTATTTTTTTACATTATGCAAAAGGCTGCTCCATTACGATTTCATCCGTGTAATTAGGGTTTTTCAAATTTAGCAAAGCAAACTTTTGAATAGCAATAGCTATTGCATAATTGCTGCTTCTCGAGCTGTACTCTCATTGGCAGTACTGTATAACTTTTCTGCTTTGTAGTGTTTCTGCCTTGCATTCAAATCAACTATTAAGCAAAGCTCGGGAGTTCGTGTTGATTTCTGTTTCTGTTTCTGTTCCTTTTTGGTTTTTAACATGTATTTGTTCATGTTTATGAGCAGAGGTATCGTAACTTGCTAGGTTGATTGTGGTGGACGCACTGTAGTTGAGGCATCAATGGGAGATGAAAAGGATGCCTTTTATGTGGTTCGAAAAGGTGACGTTATTGGTGTCTACAAGAGCTTAAGTGATCTCCAAGCTCTACTTCGATCCTGTGTAAGCTTTAGTATTCCTCTTAGAAAATCAGGAGTGTTTTATTTCTACTGTATTTTTTAGTAAGATTTTTTTTTTTTTTTTGGTAACACATTTTGACTTAAATAGTATAGTGTTAAGCTTTTCTGAAAAACATAGATGATGGTTTTGGATTCTAATCTTTCAGGTTGGTGATCCTCAAATAAGTGTTTTTAAAGGGTACCGCCTTGCCAAAGAATCTGAAGAGTATTTAGCCTCTCATGGGCTCAAAAGTGCAATGTACTCTATTGACACAAGTGATGTGCGAGATGATCTCTTTGGCATACTTGTTCCTTGCCCTTTCCGGGTAATCTTGGCTTAGTAGTATTCAGTACTTGATGTTTTTAGACCTTAGACTGAGTAATGTGCATTATTTAGCCTAAGTTGGTTCAGATAATTTGCTTCTATTCCTTAGAATGTGTCAACATAACTTGACAATTCGGGCTTCACCTATAAAAGGAAATGGCGAAGTTTCAAATCCTGGAAAGTGGTGTTATTTAATTATTTGATTTATTTTTGAAAGATTCATCTCTATATAGTATTAGAAAGTGCAAAGTTTGCTGTTACTCAGTTGGGATTCTGTAAATGAAACCTTGGATAAGAGGCATTATGTTTCTCCGTCATATACACTTCTTTTGCAAAGCCTATCCACTACAAATGCTAGCACGTCATTGACTTATTAAGTATTTTTGCAATTCCATATTAACAGATCCTATCAAATAACTGAGAAAAGGCTATTGTGTTTCAGCAACCAGGTTCTTCCAAAGATAAACCTCTCTGCAAGAATGTTCATGAGAAACGGCTGCAGGTAATGCTTATATCTTGATCTTTCAAGACAAAGTATGTTTTGCTGTAATAGTCTATGTATATATTGTTGTTAAATTTCCATACAGTGCTCATTCCTCCAATGTTGTAATGAGAAGCATACACTCACATTTTATAGATAGTAAGAAAAATATATAATTAACTTAGATATTTTTGAAATTTTCTAGTTACTTTGGTTGCTACGTGTGCCATCTACAGATATTAAGTGAAAATGCTAGCGATTCATTGTTGTCTTGACTGTCCTTTACTCCTTCTCCAGAGTGAAAGCTCCCATATATTTTGTTGTAGAGTTGGTTAGTACTTGTCTACTTGATGATCAAAATGATAATAATTAGTAATTACATTGTGAAGGACTTCTCATTACATACTTTGCAGTTCAAAAATGTCAAAATTTCAGTCATTAATCATATTTTTGAGAGAGGTTTCCTTTAAATTTGTTATTTGGTCAACAGGAAATGGCTGGATCTGCTTCATTTTCTGCAGCTAATCAGCAGAAGCATGCGAAATTAGATAACTTTCTTGAAGTCCCATCGGTTTCTTCTTATTGTGTGAGTATTCTAGTCTTTTCTCTCATGTTTAAAAGGATGTTACTATGTGACTATCAGGGAAAACATTGGCCATGTAAAGCCATATCTCCGTCTCTTTCTTCAATCTACTGGAGACTGAACTTTTATTGGAGATGAGAAAATTAACTGTTGTGATCTTGCTTAGTCTTCTTACGTAAAATAAACTGAAGATCTTACATTCTTTATATAATGAATCTGGATGCATTTATAACTAATCACAAGTTTCTAACTACTATTAGACTTCTGAGCCCCAGGCTAGCTCCTTAAAGTTTGTTGCCTTCCTCTGTTCTGCTTCCTTCACATGGTAGATATCTTTATATGGTTTTGCTTACAGCTTCAAAGTGTTTCATTAAAGATAGACTGGTATTTGTTATGTGCAGGTTTCCTGCATTCTTGAGTTTGATGGTGCTTCAAAGGGAAATCCTGGACTAGCTGGTGCAGGGGCTGTGCTCCGTGCTGCAGATGGAAGTATTGTATGTATTATTTTTCTTTAGTAAATGTGCCTAACATTTGTGGTTTCTAGCTTTTAACGCTTTTATTCCATTTTGTGTAGGTTTTTAGGTTGCGTGAAGGTGTGGGTGTTGCAACAAACAATGCTGCTGAGTATAGAGGTGTAATATTAGGGTTGAAGTATGCTCTTGAGAAAGGCTTTAAACACATACGTGTCCAAGGAGACTCAAAGCTTGTCTGTATGCAGGTCTCATCTCTCTTTTTGTCTAAAGCTTCTGATCACTTTCCTTTAGTCAATGAGATTATTTATAGGCGTTGAATGTAATTTCCTTGCAATTGAATTGAAATTCGTTGAAGCCCTAAATTACATTGTTTGGTTGGAGGGAATTGTCCATTGAATTGGAATTCATACCCCCTACCCGTGAATTCTAATTCAATGGAAGAAGGAAAAGGGAAAAATGGGAAATTGACATATTTGTCCTCAATTATTATTATTATTATTATTATTATTATTATTATTACACCACAAGGACATTTTAGTCTTTATATGATTTTTTTCCTTCCCATTCCTAATAATCTATTCATCTCTACCAAACAATGTAATTTGAATTCCATACTTCATTCCCACGGAATTACAATTCTTTTCCTTCCTAATTCCTTCCTCCCAACCAAACACCTTGATATTAGTTTTATTTTCTTTTCCACATAGGGTTCATTTGATCTCAGAACATTCTTCAAAAATCCAATGAATCATGCATGGTAATTAATATCTGCATCAATTCTTTCATTTACAACTTTCTAATGCTCTTCTTGTGGAACAGACTCAAGGAATTTGGAGAACCAAGAACCAGAACATGGCTGAACTGTCTAAGGTGGTCAAAGAGCTAAAGAATCAATTTATGTCTTTCCAGATCAACCATGTTGAGAGAGTATGAAGAAATATTTCCTTTATCTTAATCTCGAGCTCCTTGCTTACATAACACATTCTACTATTTGTGATGAGTCAAGGATACTTTGGTTGGTTGTTTATGATTTCACATAGGAGAATGTGCTCATATAATTTGTAGTTAGGTACAGAAAAAAAGCTTTTTATCTTTAGTCATAGAATGCCACTCCTAATGTCCTCTTGTTTAACAACACTTTAAAGTGCCACTTGGGACCTTATGCTGTTTTGCATCCTCATTCCAAGCATTAATATGCTTCACTTGACAGGAATACAACACCGAAGCCGATGCCCTGGCCAATCTTGCAGTTTATCTGAAGAGTATGTAGACCTTTGCTCTCATTCCATTCTTACTACTTTTTCAATATTTTGAGCTAGATTGGTTTTATTGTTTTTGACAATATTACAAGAACTTGATGCTTCGTGCAGATGGCGAAATTCAAGTGGAATATGACGTGAAGTAGGCGAATGCAATTATGCAAAGCCCTCTCATCCAGTATCAAGTTTATGGACTCTGAGAGGATTGTCCCTCACACTTTCACACACAATGTCATCCGATCAAATGTAGATACATGGTTTGTGATGTCTGTAACCTAATTTGAGGATGCTTGTCTTTAGGGATTCTTAAACTGACACTGTAGGTAGTTATTTATGTAGATATTTGTATTAACAAGCTCGTCTCTTCTTTTTAACGTCTTCGCCCTATTGAATTTATAGCTGCCGTTACTTGACCAATTTTCAGGGCTAGTTTTTCATCCCACGCAGAAACTAGCCACTGAATTCTTATATAATTATGTCCAAATTATATAATGTTACGTTTCATATTATAATTAGAAACATCATAGTGATGTTAAGATTATGTGAACTGCTGTCTTTCCTACTAATTTGCAAGTAGCAACTATTAAGCACATGCATGTTATAACTTCATGTCGCCTTTACTCTAAGAATCCACAATTGTCCCATTAAGTATATATATATATATATATATATATTGTGGTGATACATAAGGTCCTTAAAGTACAGCTACTGATAGAGCACGCAGAAGGCCAGGAATAGAAGAGGAAACTGGAAACATCTTTTCTGCAATTGGTCGCCTTTGATTAGAAAGTTTCATGTACATTGCGTGAATCTCATAACAGAGTTAGGTGTTTCAATTCCCTGTGCTTGTCCTCTCTCCATCACGTTACTTCTTCCATTATGCACCAACAATGGTTACTTTCAAGGCACCTACATTAAAAAAACACACACACCTCCATGGACTTTTTTTTTTTTTAAATGACGTGAAATTTTCAGTTATTATCCCAGAGTGTGTTTGGGATAAACTAGTTTAGGTTGTCCATAGCTGATCGGTTCAAATTAAGAACGCTAATAGGTCGCTCTTGTTAGAAGCTGAACTTGCAATCTTATGATTACCAAGTCAACAACTTGATTGGGAGGGAGGTTGGCGGTGATTGTGTTACATGTGTACGAAGACACATTGTGTTCCTTCACAGATATGCATGATCTCTTCTTCTTATCTTGCTTTGTTAATTAATTTGGCAGTTGTCAGTGGCCTCCAGAAGAGATGGGCACAGAAGGAATCGGCAGACGCCAGTAATATTATATTTCAATGGATCTCAGCTTCCTACTGTCCGTCTGAAACAATAATGTATTACTCCAATAGAACCAATGAAACAAAAACCCCAAAATATATATGGCAGCGCTTTACCATTTTTAGGCGGATTAGAATGGGGTTTGACAACACATTTTAACTTCTAATCTATGTACCAATTTAACGCGTTGAAACATACATATCAAATTCACGACTAATGTTGTTGACTAATGTTGTACTGTTGAATGTGTCATGTGATCTCACATGGTGTCTGTCTGAGTAAATCTAAGTTTTATCCATATTTTAATCCTCATTAGAAGATTCTCAATTAGTGGGCACCTTAATTGCCTTCACCTTGCGTCTTATCATTTATTTTTTAAAATCTTTTTTAATTTAATTATCATCTATGCTTGGAGACAATCTTACTCTCTGCACCAAGCATGTCTCTGTTAACATCGGTATAAAAAAAATGTAAAAAAAAAAAAAATTACCTGGAAGGCACTCCCACGTAATAGCTGACCTATACAGAAACAAACAAAAAAATTCGAGTTTCTATAGACAGACTTCGTGCGTCGATTGATTAAAAATGGCAACTGGCTCACACTAGATGATGCCACTATGCCAATAGAGTTACTATTTTAATTGGTTTATATAACCAAACATGAATTTTATGTCAAACTATTTATAATAAAAAAATATTAAAAGCTATTAAAAAAAGGAAGAAATTGTAATTTTTGTTTCTGAGTGCTGGTCATGCTCACTTTTCGTCCCTAAGTTATTATTGGGGTTGTACTTTTCGTCCCTGAGTTATAAGGTAATTATATGATTCGTTTATAAGTGTTGATCATACTCACTTTTTGTCCCTAAGTTATCATTGACGTTGCACGCGTCCGTCTGGGCGCACTGCTTGCACGTAATTTGAGTCCGCCTTTACTTTTTCTCTCACCTGTGAGCCCCTCAAAAAACTAAAATTTGCAGAAAAAAAAAAAAAAAAACTACCCCCAAAACTCATCCCTACACTAGTTAAAAACCATTTTTTGGTTTTCTGATATGCAAAAACTCCATAAAATCCACAAGTATGGATATTCTTAGTAGATCTTTCACGGTTTTTGAGAATAAAATAGCCAACATGGAGGAGAAAGAAGAAAAAAGTTCCTCTTGCAAAGAGGGGTTTTTCGCAGAAATGTGGGACCCACTACAGAACAAGCACATCCACGCCGCTCACGCGTGAATGTCACAATTGCGCCCAGCGAGCGCATATATGGTGTTGTTTAGATTTTTTTTTTTTGAAATCAACTTTATTTTATTATTTTTTTTCTTTTTTCTCTTCCTTCCTATATTATCTTTCCTAATCACACTTACAAAACTCTTCAAAAACTACATTAAAAATAAAAATCACTATTAAAGATGCCCTAAATAGTATTATAATATAGGAAAGAGCATATTATTTAAAAAAAAAAAAAGGGAGGCATGGAGCGTGTACTGTGTAGCTATGCATAATGCACTGATGTTGACTAGAACGGAAGCAAATCCAACCTGGCAAATAATAATTACCCTCTGCTTACTAGTTGTATATATTACTAGTGTATATATATATATATAATTATTTTTTGGTGATAAAAAAAATTCTCAGTCATTATATACGGAGTAATAAGTAAAATTTGTTCTGGTGTAATAATTTAAAAATTTATATACAATAACTCAATAAGAAAAGTGTTCGGCAAAAATTAAATTTATAATTTTTAAATATATTTTAAGTATCAATATGGGTACGAGTTGTAAATATTATTCAACGGAGAGGCATCCGGACACATGGTACAATGGTAGTCCATATATATCATTGTAATAATTCCAGCTGTTCACATAGGTTTACTCCCTCATGTGCTGTTTAATAATTGCAGGTTTTTTCACTGTTCATTATTCTTGGATCCGGATAAGAACAATGAATAAAAAGATTGATTATTTTGCTTTTCACAACAAGTCCATGGGCTCCTTTACTCAATTTCTCTTTGTTTTTAAAAGTTATAAACACAAATTCGACGAATAAGAGAAAATTGGATATAATAGGCAGGAGCCCGAGAAAAAAATAAAATAATAGTTAAGAACGATGGTTAGATAGAAAGGTAGAATGGTACTTTGTGGTCTAGCTATACCAAATTATTTTGTGGTATTGAACAAATATTACATTATAACAGAGTCGGTAGTACTAAAAAAAAAACATCAAAATGGTGAAAAGTGACAAATATTTATATAATTAAATTTGTGTTTCCTCCTCTATAACTTCATGCATGCCAACTCACATTTTGACTAACAGTATGCACAAATTAAAATTTGTGTTATCATTAAATAACAAGTTTGAGTGTAAATTAGATAATAAAAGTAAACTAAAATTTAATAATTTCTTGATCTAAGATGAAGATCACAATATATGTTTTAAAGAGAACGTAACATCCTTACATCCCCATTGGACAATATCTCCTGTCCCTCTATATATACCAAACTCTGGTTGGTCTTCATCTTCACCATTCACCTTCTTAAAACCCTAACTAGCTCAGAGCCACCATGGATTTCAAACCACTGTTTCTACTTCTCTTCTTCCTCTCTGCTACAACCGCCACAGCTCCGGCTCCTCCGGTAGCCAAGCCACCGCCAACTCCTTATCCGCCTGCCGTCAAGACAGCACCGCCTCCACCGACGCCGCCGCGCGCGCCTGTCAAGCAGACACCTCCTCCTCCTCCTGCACCAGTCAAGACAACTCCCCCTCCGCCGCCTGCTCCAGTCAAGGCGCCGCCGTCTCCTCCTTCGCCGCCGGCGAAGCCACCCGTCGGACCTCCTGCTACCCCAGTATATCCGGCGCCCCCTCCCCATCCGCCGAGAAACAGAGAAGGTAAGAAAAAAAATATACATTATATATTTTCATCTGTAGTTTTTGTCTATATACGAAACTAATACTACGACGCGCTGTGGGGAATGTGCAGAGTGCGCGCCGCCATGCACGGTGAGGTGCAAGCTGCACTCGAGGAAGAAAGTGTGCCTGAGAGCGTGCATGACCTGCTGTGAACGCTGCAAATGCGTGCCGCCGGGGCAGTACGGCAACCTGGAGAAGTGCGGTAGCTGCTACGCCAACATGACCACCCGCGGCGGCCGGCGCAAGTGCCCCTAGATCCCCGGCCGACCTCAATCCGCCATTGTTGCGCCTTTCTAGGAGCTCTTTAATTTATTGTCACTACTATATATGCCCCTCCTCGATGTAGCTGTATTTCTCTCATATCTCTACTCTACCAACCTAAGAATATATTCTATTCTCTAAATCTCTATCTTCGGTATTATGGCACAATTAACTCCTAAATAAAACTATCACTTTAATTGCTTAATAATGCTCACAATTAAGCTTTATTTATGACAAAATAAACACCATAACATGACATGCCAAGAATCTTGTAATTCAATGACAATAAGACCCTGGGTGAAAGTGAAAGGTTTAAGGTTGAGTTTCATCCTTTTATAGCTAAATCAATTAGGTGTTACTTAGGTTGTTTTAATTCTGGTGGTCTTTTTACCGGTTAGATTATAAAGTATGTTTCACTTAAAGTGCGCATATTTAAATAGTGACCTTTGGTTTATTTTATTATAATTTTTTATTACTTAACATAAAAATATAGGTTTTATTTAGATTTCAGGGTGTAACTTCGAGTAAATTAAAAGTGACTAATTTTTTTTGTAAATTAATGAAACACCGTGTAACATGTCCATATAAAAAGTGGAAGAAATGTAGCATTGATGATGGATCAGTGGGATTCAATTCAATTCAATTCTGCAGTAGTAAAGTAAGACGTGAAGAGATGTAGGTCTTAAAATGTCGAACCACCCCCTGAGTGTTACATTAATATGGAGTGTTGCCAGTTTGGTAAGTGGTTGTTAGTTGTTAATTGATTGTGTTAATTAAAATGTATAATTAGTTGATAACATTAGCGGATTGTATAAAGGTGTTTGGTAAATTAGCTATTAGTTGATAGCTATTTAGTATAATTTTTTTTTTTTTTTTCAAAAAGTTAATTGAAAAAGTTGGTTTGAGTAGCTTTTTAAAGTTTAACATTTTGGAGTTACAAAAAACCAATTAACCAAACACTTATATTGATTTTTTAACAAAGTTAAACAATTAATAGTAGTCAAATAAGTCAAAATTGATGCTAACATTTTACCAAACAGGGCCTATATACCTTCACTCTTTTACGGGTGTGGTTGGTTCGTATGGGAATCGGAATCAGAACTGAAATCAAATACTTAGTAATGGTAATGTGTTTTGGTGAAAATATTTTATATGTTTGGTAGTATAGTGGAATTGGAATGATACCAATATTGATGTTTGGTTATGTATGACCATATAATAGGAATAAAAGTTTAAAAATACAAAAACAAAAATAAAGGCAATTGATCATTAATATAATAAATATCCAAAGCACCAATATGAACCAAAAAAAATCAAAAACAAAAATCTAAAAGTACTAATTCAAACTTAAAAATTAGATTATCAATCAAAAAATTGAAATGATACCCGTTTTTAATTAAAGAATGTGATTTTTAATAGGAGGGATAATCAAATCACCTAGTTATGTTTTAAAAAATTGTCAACTAATAAATACTAATTATAATTTTGATTATTAATCCTAACATGTAAACTCATGAGCCAAACATATACCTTAATTTAGAGCAAAATGGTAGACCATATTTCTTATTTGTTTATTCTCTTCCTTTAATAAAATCAAAATATGGAGACAAAAAAATTTACTCCATTAAATTATACTTGTCATTTTTCATAATGTTATGTACACCATTTTCTATTAAAGAAACATGTACCATTGTACCTCCACTAAACGATAAATAATACGGAGACGCGCAGTATGTAGTGGTATTTAATAAGATTAATAATGGCGATGGTACCACACTCTTTATCATTTTATATATTGATGGGTAAATAAAAATCATAATTTTTTTTTCTCCTATACCCTTTAACAGTGCATTTCATTTTTTTTTTTATTGAAATAATATTTTTTTGGACCTTCTATACAATTAAATTTTGTGTATGGTAGACAAAATAATGGGTTGCTGAGCAGGTGTTGTCTTGTTTTTACAGCATTAAGCTAGTAGTACAAGCAAGGCACTGACAGTGAATATGGCATTACCATGCTTTTAGCCTACCTACTCCATATTTCCGTGAAAAGCGACTTCCTTTATCTGTATCTCGAATTTCTCATTTCTTTACCATATATGTGGTGGTGTGGCGGTGGTAGTGTGGTGGCGGTGGTTGTAATGGTGGTGATGGTGATAACGGTGGTGTGGTGATAGTGTGGTCATGGACCGGTGGTTGTGGTGGTGGTGGTGGTGGGTGATGTTGGTGTGAAAATTGAAAAATGACTTCTCCCAAGGATGATGGCAAGTCATTTTCTAAGAAAATGATGTTATTTTTCTTTGATTAAAGAGTCATTTTCCTTTATTGGGCCGACCCAGTGCGAACGAGAATTAGTTTGAATATAGTACGAGCCTAATGGTGTCTTTTACCGTTAGAGTCAGCTCAAGATACATCGTGATCTGAGCCCCTAAAAAAAAAGAGTCATTGTCCTTTGACTTACAGTTTTTACTCTTTACCAAACACTAAAAATATGAAAATGATTTTAAAAAATCTATTTTCAGATTTTCAAACACACCTGATAGCATCATTATTATTTTCCACGATAAAGGTTACATATACTACTATAAGTACCATAAACTTAATTCATATTCAGGCCCAATGCTAGTGGACGTAATCGAGCTTGCCTTCCTTCTGAGCCCAAGTTGGCCCAACCCTAGTGTATGGTATCAGGCTGCCCTGCATTACTTCTTAAGCCCAATCCAGTAATTGGGCCGGCCTGCTTCCCTCTCGAGTCTAGTTTAACGTATGGTACAGCCCAATTCATGCTGATGGGCTGGCCTTTTACATAGTACCATACTAGATTGTTGAATCTCATTAACCGTCACGTGTATAATTTTTGTTAAGCTTTCCAATTTCAATTCAACCATCAAATTAAAAAAATATATAAAAACATCAAATGTGCTTTTTGTTGTAATGTTGTTGTATTGTTTGTGCCCGTTGGCCATTAGCTCCTAATCGGTTAATTGTAGGATTGGATCAATATAGATAAACGTAAATGTACAAGACAAAGAGAAGTAGAACAAGAGACAAGGAGAGTCATTCCATTGCACTAGTCCACTCAATACAATGTTACAACAAGCATATATAATGTACAAATAATAATGATGATACTAATGATGACCATTATAACAGTTATGTATTGAATGCCCATAATGTCCACCATAATAATATATTTATAACACTCCCCCTTGGACATTATTTTATCAACGATCTTGCCTCGTTAAAGACTTGCTAGGAAAACCCTGTGGGAAAAACCTAGACAATAAGAGAGTACAATAGAAAATATATTCATGCTTCATTAAAAACTTCACTAGGAAAACCACGTGGGAAAAAAACTTAGTTGAAGAAAAGAGTACCTGATATATGTAAAAACATATATTGTATTTGGTCGCCTCATTAAAAACCTTAACTTAAGAAAACCCTGTAGGAAAAACTTAGTTAAGGGAAAAAGAGTACACCATAAGCGCAGCCTTCAGAGCATAATCTGCATAATCTTCAGGATTTTGGAGTTTGTTCATTTATTAACCAATTATTTTGCAATTTTCCCCATTGTCATTACTATATCATACTCATGCCTCGTTAAAAAACCACATGGCATGCATATGCTGCAAAAAGTATAACTATTAGTCTTTTAAAGACCCAATCTACATGATTGACTCGAGTGAATGTACTTCCTATCTCCCCCTGAAGATAACAATCTTCAAATTCTATATTACCTGTAAAATCATTGTTTCTAAAGGGTGTAGAGAAGGGATATGGTACAATCTTCAGGATTGTCATTAGAATTTATCATATTTTCTCATGATCATCTGGACCAATAAAATTATACCTGTAAAATCATTGTTTCTAAAGGGTGTAGAGAAGGGATATGGTACAATCTTCAGGATTGTCATTAGAATTTATCATATTTTCTCATGATCATCTGGACCAATAAAATTATTTATAGTTTATATTTTGTTGCTCCCCCTAAATATAATAATTTTCTTTACCTACACGTATCAATCTTATGGATTTTTTTTTTGTAGGTATACATTTGCTAACTTGTCACTGGAGCAAACCTTCTGAACAAATATTTTATCACTCTTCTGGAGTTCATGTGGATCAAGGTATTTTATATCATGAAAAACTATATACATTTTTATCTGTAACAAGTATGATGACTTCATGCCAAAAAGCATCAATACGAGTATTTTTACCTTGATTTTGCTATTCGTTATCTTATCTCATAACTTAACATCATCAAACTCTTTATATATTTCATTGATATTTACACCATAAATATTGACTGAGATAATAAATAAGTCCATTATCAACTCTTTATTGAGCACATAATGGTACATATTATTCCTTCTATATGAGGATAATAACCCTATTCGCAACTCTCTAAAAAGTAAATAATGGCACTTAAATAAATCCTCATTTCGGGAATTATAAATCCATTAGAGATTTTCAAGATAAATTAGAGGATATATTTAGAATATTTTCAAGAGGAAACAATATTTGAGTTTCCCAATCACATATAACATTACTAGGCATGTTTATGATAATATATTTTCATACTTTGTTATGGGGGAGAAAATACATTTAAAAGATCATAGTTAGTAACTTACTAACTTTTATACTTCTTATTTTGTGATTTTCATTCATCACATTTTGAAAAAAATCCATCAAGGATTTTAAATATAAGTAACAAGTTACCCATATAAATATGTGATAACTATAACTATTAGCTACATATCTAATTTATTTACTGCTAGTTTTATTGAATAGCGGAATATAAAGCCATGACTAATATTGGGTCTCTGCGAAAACCCTCCACTCGCCTTTTATTAGCGAATTCTAATTTGTATGCCTTAATTGCTATTTTCTATGAAAACAGTTAGCACGCTGCAGGCGTTATACTACTATTTTCATTTCTGGATCCAGACTTAAGTATTTATGAGCAATTGAGGCAGAATATGTTGTCGACAACTGTAACAGCTTTGTAGATATCTTTTATACACATGGCAATTTTGTATCAACCAAATATATGGCATTTCCCAAGAGTATTTGGATTTGGTTGTTCCGCTTCCCCAGTATTTTAGTTGTTTGGTGCACCTACAATTTTACTGGGGGATTTTCGTCTTCTAGACCAATATCTTCAG